TGAAGAACAAGGGAATAAAAATGTATTTGATGGACTTAAGATTCGTTGGAGTCATCTGAAATTCTACAGACAGTTTGGGTAGGCAGCTCTCTAGGTTTTGACACACAGTCCCTGTGTTGTCACTACTTTCTGAAGGATGCACACCAGAGGCGACAATTCTATTTAAGTTAAAATACAAGTGTACAGCTGAAGTATTGCTTTTGAACAATAATTCACCAATTCTAGCTCTCAACACAGTTTATCTCACACAAAGAGGGCTAGATAGCGTAGACTTCGCGCGAGGTGACATCAGACTGTTATGGAGTCAATCCTTACCTTCAGATAGGAGAAGCAGGAGCACAGCGATGTCTCCCCAAACGATTCCACCCGTAGTTCCCATTCTTGTCAATCATAAGTGTAAATTCACAATGAACAGGCAAAAGTAGGCTATTTTGATTCCCAAAATAGAACTTAACAGTGTTTATGATTCGCGCGAAGGAGCCACAAAAGTCCTTAACGTGAGTGTCCCATTGACGGGTGACTGACTGCAGCGCGAGCTGCTGGACCGTCAGCGCGCGCGCGCACACACACACACACACACACACACACACACACACAGAGCGCAGCAGGGGGAGGTTCACATCACATCCAGCCAATTTCCTCAGATGTGTGTTTCCGTCCTGAATCACATCGGCGGCTGTCCAATAACTCAAAGAGTTCCTAATAAATTAAATCTGCATTTTGGGGACATTCAAATAATTTGCGTACCCTAACATAGAAAAGGTAACTGGGTAATATAACTTTTTGATTTTCCTTTATGTTATGCATTAGGCTGTATTATTAATTATTGATAGTTTTTATAAACACACTCATTTCCCAGTCAATCCTTTTAAATATGCAGTGCAGACACAACCCACGCAGTAAGTAACTCAGTATAAAATTATTAAAGAGATATAGATGCAGATGCTATCTGCGTTATAAAAAGGGAACCCATTGCCTTAACGGTTATTTTCTCCGTGTTTATAAGGTTTCCAATTACACACATGCAATTTTTGACAGTAGGCTGGCTAATAATAAGCTGTGCTGGTTTCAAACAGCATATGCAAAAAGTTCTCTCTCTCTTTCTTTCTCTCTAACCGTGATTTCAAGAAAAGTGTCAATATCGGTTGACCAAAGTTGTCACGTGTTTTAAAATTTTGTCTGTTCATGAACTGTATTGTTTCACAATTCTTTTATGTTCTTTTCTACTGTTTTTTTTGTGCTTGTTTTTGCAAAAAAAAAAAAAAAAACCCTGTTTCATTGTGACAACCTGTTCCATGTAGTATGAGAACTTGCTGCAATTTTGGCATGTTGTCACAAAAGATCAATGTATGTTACATACATTTTCTTCTCTTCAAAAATTAGCTTATTTATCCAAGACTTTAAAAAATGTGTTGATACAGTAACTGACTTTCAATTATGAAAAATACTTCTTGTGTGACAACCAGCCCCACTCTCCTCTATAAGCCTAAAAATTTAAAATGTGAACTGTTTAAAATCAAGCACTATGAAAAGAACAGGTCAACACAGAGGTGCAGGGCAAACGTACGAGCGAAATAAGATTTGTCAAACTAATTCACAATGAAATAAATAAATGAAAGTACATCAAATATCCTTGCAGGAACATTTTGTTTGCTCCACAAAACAGTTTAATAAGAATCAGGTGCAGAGGCACTATAATCAACAAACAGGACAAACCACACCCAAACCTATTGTTCCTCATATCCTCTGAAGTGTTCAAAACAAGTGTTCTAGAGAATTTAACACTGTCAGTAAAAGCCAAGGTTTAGGAAGGTTGTTGTGAGTTCAAGATGGTGTCTGTCTGTTTTGGCCCTGATGTCTGGCAGTGTCTGTGCCGGCCGGGGTGTTCTTGGACCAGCTGACTGCTTAGCTCTCTGTGAAGAGGGGTAAGCATGATGCATTACTCTGCCTCTAGGGCAACCCACCAGTGCATCACAGGGCAATCACTCCAATCAACGTCTGCCCTGATGGATGCCAAATGAAACTATAGTGGAGACCTCAAATTAAGCATGGGAGAAAGAGGGCAACCAAAAATGCTTTGGTTTGGTAACAAAATAACTTATCTGTTGCTTTGGATCCAAAAGAATTATTGAGGTATTTTACATTCATAAAAGCCTCCAATACTGGGATATTATGGAAATAGCAAAAATGTCTGTCCTATAGAAATAAACAAACAGAGGCAATTGCCAGACAGTGCACTTTAATTGAACATACAATACAAATAATTTATATATAAATAATTATATAATTAATTTAAACGTGAAATATTCATTATTCAAATATTTGTGGTTTATTATTAAATATTTTCAATACAAATTGTATTTAATTTAAATAATAATTAGTTTATAATTGTCTAACAGAGTTAAATGAATTGAATGGCAGTATAGAATTGGAATCGTGTAATTATTTTGTAATTTATAAAATAGTTTTAAATGCAAATAAATTATGTTGGTCAACCAACAACAAAACACAACAATTATAACTATGGCCCATCAAAATACAAAGAGCAAAAATGTGTTGTTTCCAGCTCCACCTTTTTGTTCAGATGTTTGTTATGCTGTATAAATATTTCACTTACTCTGCATATTAGCCACAGGATGGTTTTGTTTACATAGCAGCATGTAGAGTCATAACCATATACATGATGCAGATTTTAAAAAGCTCAGGTTACTCTAAACCAGACACACAGTGGTATTTTCAGACATATGGTCAATGTAAATCAATGTAGATAGGCAATGCATAGGCAGATTCATGACATATACCTCTGCGCAAGTTCTTTTTGAAAGTGGTTACTGGACGAGATCATTTTCAGATAAAAGCTTGTCTTATAGTAGATAAGATCACAATTTTTACTGTCAGATTCTGTCAAAAAGATTCTCATTAGTATTGCACAAGTAGACAATAGGAAAGCTTTGTTTACATCAAACATGGTGGAGCTATTCTCAGTGGTATTTTGCTAATATAGCTTTGCATCACTATGCCTTGCATTAAATAATAATGATGATAAGTACTTGATTAATAAAATATTGATTCAAAAAGTGCTTACTGTGGTAGATAAAGCTATAGCTCTTAAAATAAGTCCATATTCCCACTGGGACATGGAGTGGCACAACACTAGTCATTAGTCCATTCCCAAAATCAGTTGACCAGTTTGCTTCACTCATAGGCTCTACTTAGTTTAAATGGGTAATATGATCCTCAAAATGAAAACCTTTCTCATTAACTAACAGAGAGAAAGGGGTTCAATTGAATTTCATGCAGAGTGACAGCCGGATTTGGTGATACTCTTCTAACCTGATATTATATCAGAGTCAAGCAATGGCTAATTTGTGAATTTATTATTGTTGAACAGGTAGGTAATGACCCAAAAATGCATTGCAAGTCTGTTTGAAAGTATAAAGGAAAATTACAAAATGCAACTAGCCAAATTGTTATGCATAGTTAAGATAGCAAAGTAAATACACTTATCACACGGTTCACCAAATTACAGTGACCTCAGAGTCAAACACCATGAAAAAAACTTGTTCAAATAAAAAGTTCTAATAAATAATAAAATCTAATAATAAATCTTTTTAATTTACAAATCTAGTAAATTTAAGTCTAAGCCTAGTCCCAGACTAAAATGCATGTTTGAGCTGTTTTAACTAAAAGCAACTTGCACTGACATATTTTAAAATTGGTCAGTGCCATTGTTTTATCTCAAGATGCACACTAGTAATGTTCACACTTTAGATTAGGGTCCAGTTTACACTATTAACTAACTATTGACATTTGCCTCAATAAACGCGAAATTACTGCTTATTAATAGTAAGGTAGTTGTTAAATTAAGTGGGTAGGATTAAGGATACAGAATATGGTCATAGAATAAGCATTAATATGTGCTTTATAAGTACTATTAAACAGTCAATATCTTAGTAATAAGCAACTAGTTAGAAGTGAGAATTGGAAATATACATACAGTATATATATTCTGTTTAGTAACAGAAGGGTACACTTAGAAAAGATGGGGACTTAACCAATCATTACGATGTAAACAAGTGATAGTGTCTTCTGAGCATGGGATTCTGCTCAAGTTAATAGGTGCCTGGACACCAGGATATGATCTTTAAGGGACAGTTCACTCTGACAAATATCATTTAATATATCATCATTTACTCTGTCTTATGAACAAATCTCGGGTCAGGATCTTAATGCAAAACCAGCGGAGAACCACTACTGCAGAGCCTGCAAAGATGTGTGGTTGTGACTTTATTCGATCTCATGAATACGACTCGACAGAGAACATCAGGGTTTTTTGCGTTGCATGATCATTTCCGTATGTGCATGAGATCTGCTGGTGTAATTTCCCTGATTTTGCATTAGTGTGAGCATGAAAAGTGCTGGCCCCAGAAACACTCCTCAGTGAGCCGTCCAGCTTGACCCCTATTAAAGGGCTGTCAGTTGAAGAGCAGATGGTACCCACTCTCTGTCTCACAGCAGCGAGGGGGGGTGGCCATGGCAACCGAGATATAATGGCTACCCCTCAAGTGGCGGAATCGCTTGTTCTAATTTGTTAAGTACCACTTCAGCGAATTTGATTTAATCACTACGTTCAGGTCTTAACACAACTGACATCAAATAAAACATTGCAGGTGTCCATGTAAGACAGTAAATCTGATCCCCTGGTCTTAGTCCTTATGCCTATTAACTAATTGAACACAGGAATACACCAAATTCAGACACTCACGAATATAAAAATATAAATGTACCCAAGATGGTCCTGTTTAATTTACATCAAATACTACCATGCATAATACTAAATACCTAAACATAATGTTGTACTTATTTAATAATTTAATTTAATAATTAAGACAAGAGAAATCAATGGACTTTTATGAGACAAAAATCCCAGCAGCATCAGATTTTAAGAAAGAACTTTTTGCGGTAGAGCAGGTAGGCAATGAAGACCCAAAGTGCGGTACCCCATATGTTCTGGAAAAGCTTCTCCCAGTGACTGTCCTGGAAATGCATCTCCCAGCTGAAGGGGAAGTAAAAGCCCAGCAGAGAGTGGCTAACATAGACAAATATGGAGTTCATCCCTGTAAAAAAAAAAATGCACAGTAAGTTTTTCTGGATTGGATTGGCTTATAAAACATTGCTTTAAACAAGTGAATACTCGTACCGGGATAAATGAAAGGTTGGCCGCCCCACCATTCCTTAACGTCCATGACAAAATACATCACACCCAGCAGCAAAAAGGACAAGCAGCCCATGCAGGTCACAAATGACAGGGACCTGAAGACAGACAGAAAATCTGTGTTGTACGATCTGAACCATTTGATGAGACAGAGATTTAAAACATAGAGTGCAGACACATATCTTTAAGACCTTTCAATCCACAAATAAGCTCCGGGAGATAAAAAAGCATAAAGGACCAGAGGTGCATTGCGCTATTGAAAAACTTTGCCAAACTTTTCTTGAAAACACGAAGACAACAGTGCAGAATTGGGGACTAAATAATGGATGGACACATAGTAGTTTCTGTGCTTAAGGTAAGCCAATAAGAAACATAAGCATCTAAAGTGAAGCCTTGGCACCTGCTCAGTACAACCATGTCAATAAGTCATGTGCCTCTGTGTTCCTAAGTGCCAGGATGCTCGATGGAATTTTATCTAATGTAAAATGGCTGCATCCCAGAGCATCGTTTATGTCAGCTGAAGTCGTGCCAAAAAAGACTCTTGGCTGGGAGTTAATTACTTTTAGGGATGAAGACAGACATACTCAGGGGCTCAATAAGCAGGCATGATGAACTGTCCATAAAAATTCAAGCAGGTATATGCCTGTACTCAAACAGGTACAGAGAAGGGTCACAGAGACAGAGCACATACAGCAAAGACAAAGGTCATATTTAATGTAAAAACCATAACGCAAGTATCATATGCAAAAAGATAATCTGTGTTTTTGCCTGGTTTCCTAGTTGAAACATCCTTAAAACAGTGTTATTGTTAACTAAACATATTTAAATATTTTTAATTAATTGAAATAAAGGGGAAGTAAAATACAATTATAAAATAAATATATTTCAAAAATGTAAAAGGCAAAAGGAAATTGAAATTGAGTAAGTTTTAAGTAACTAAAACTGAAATAAAAAATAAATGGAAAAATAAAAAAAATTAAATGACTTTAGCTAAAATGAAAATAAATGTAAAAATAATAAATATACTTTAACATACACTCACCTAAAGGATTATTAGGAACACCTGTTAAATTTCTCATTATCTAATCAACCAATCACATGGCAGTTGCTTCAATGCATTTAGGGGTGTGGTCCTGGTCAAGACAATCTCCTGAACTCCAAACTGAATGTCAGAATGGGAAAGAAAGGTGATTTAAGCAATTTTGAGCGTGGCATGGTTGTTGGTGCTAGACGGGCCGGTCTGAGTATTTCACAATCTGCTCAGTTACTGGGGTTTACAAAGAATGGTGTGAACAGGGAAAAACATCCAGTATGCGGCAGTCCTGTGGGCGAAAATGCCTTGTTGATGCAAGAGGTCAGAGGAGAATGGGCCGACTGATTCAAGCTGATAGAAGAGCAACTTTGACTGAAATAACCACTCGCTACAACCGAGGTATGCAGCAAAGCATTTGTGAAGCCACAACACGCACAACCTTGAGGCGGATGGGCTACAACAGCAGAAGACCCCACCGGGTACCACTCATCTCCACTACAAATAGGAAAAAGAGGCTACAATTTGCAAGAGCTCACCAAAATTGGACAGTTGAAGACTGGAAAAATGTTGCCTGGTCTGATGAGTCTCGATTTCTGTTGAGACATTCAGATGGTAGAGTCAGAATTTGGCGTAAACAGAATGAGAACATGGATCCATCATGCCTTGTTACCACTGTGCAGGCTGGTGGTGGTGGTGTAATGTTGTGGGGGATGTTTGCTTGGCACACTTTAGGCCCCTTAGTGCCAATTGGGCATTGTTTAAATGCCACGGCCTACCTGAGCATTGTTTCTGACCATGTCCATCCCTTTATGGCCACCATGTACCCATCCTCTGATGGCTACTTCCAGCAGGATAATGCACCATGTCACAAAGCTCGAATCATTTCAAATTGGTTTCTTGAACATGACAATGAGTTCACTGTACTAAAATGGCCCCCACAGTCACCAGATCTCAACCCAATAGAGCATCTTTGGGATGTGGTGGAACGGGAGCTTCGTGCCCTGGATCTGCATCCCACAAATCTCCATCAACTGCAAGATGCTATCCTATCAATATGGGCCAACATTTCTAAATAATACTTTCAGCACCTTGTTGAATCAATGCCACGTAGAATTAAGGCAGTTCTGAAGGCGAAAGGGGGTCAAACACAGTATTAGTATGGTGTTCCTAATAATCCTTTAGGTGAGTGTATATAAATAATACTAAAATAAAACTGCCTTAAAATATATATTATTTTACAATTCTTTTTAAATTAAATTTATTTTATTTTTATTTTTTATTTTTAGCTTAAACCTCACAAGATCCTTTTTGCATACACTGTAAAATAGATCAACAACGGAATAAATCTGTTTTGAATACTTCTGTTACATACCATTATTTATCCTGAGGTATTAGGTGACAAATAATTTAATGTGCACCGGTCTGAAGATGTAGGGCTGACCTCATCCTGCTCAATTTCCCAACAGGCGGATGAGATAAGCCAGATTTTGGCAAGATGTATGGTTGGGAAAATAAAACTGCTCACTCTCTCTTGGCTGTAAAGAAGAGTGATCTAGTTGGACAGTGGATGTATCACCCGCTGCGTCTCACTCCTGTGCCAGTGGGGGTGATTATTTACAGGACGTTCTGTCGTTAGAAGTAAGTAAACGCGTGTTTTAGCAGCCTCTGATTTGTGCCTGCTGGAGTATCATCCCTTCTTTTGTGGATTGAGAAGTGGCTGGATTTAGAGGGTTAGGAAGCACTTACCAAAGGTTTTTATTGACAGGTATAAATCCTTCGTCTCTTGTGCACTTAGAAAGGATGGCTGCAGAGATTCCCTGAGGATCAGAATAAAACAGATTTCAAATCAATGCAGACCTGTAAAGCAAGCATTATCAGACAACCCAAATGCAGCACCGCCATGAAGAATCAAGCAGATTAGCTGACACTCCCGCGAGGTGAAGCCCCTCGAACTAACACACGAAACACAGATCCATCTCCTCATGCCTACAGCAAAACTCTCAGTCATTTCACGTTTTACACGACATTTCGTTACATTGCTTTATATTCCGTTTTTAACCCTTAAAGGCATCTGAAAAAGTAAATGATTTTCTTCCACAGTATGTTTGTCTTGTTTTCCAATTAAAATATTTAAACATCCTTAAATCAAGATACATTAACTTGAGAAGCAAAATTACATATCAGATCTTGTTTTCTGAAAAAAAAAAAAGATCAAAATTAAGTGACTTTACGCTTAGAACAAGAAAAAATATCTCCAATGGGTAAGAAAAATAAACTTTTAAACTAAGAATTTTCTTATTAGCAGATATTTGTTTCGTGTTTTAAACATAAATCGTTCTTTTTTTTCTCTCCAGAAAACAAGACTTAATGGTAGCACTTTAGGTTAGGGTCCAATTCTCACTATGAACTAGTTGCTTATTAGCATGCATGTTATAGGATATTGGCTGTTTATTAGTACTTATGAAGCATGACATATTCTACATCCTTAATCCTACCAATACCTAATCTTAACAACTACCTTACTAACTATTAATAAGCAGTAATTAGGAGTTTATTGAGGCAAGAGTCGCAGTTAGTTGATAGTGAGAATTGGATCCTAATCTAAAAAAGTGTGACTGACTTAATATCTTAAGTAATTTTGCTTCTAAAGTAAAAGAATCTTGAGGATAGATTTATTGTCTAGATATTTCTACTGGAAAACAGGACAAAAATACTGAGGAAGAATTATTTTTATTTTTTTTGCTGTAAAAGTATTATTAAAACAGGCTCATTTAAGAAAAAGCTTGTGCTTTTGTGAGGACAGACAGTTCAGCATCCAAACCTGCTTGTTAGGAGGATATCCATCATTTGTATAGATGACAGAATCAATGGTGTGGAAATAGCCTGGCTGGCTCTAGATTGAGTCTCCAGGCTATGCAGGCAGGATGTGGGACAATCATTGCTATGTGGGCCAATCGCTCAATTTTAATCTCAAACTGCGGAGTTGTGATCGTTGAACTTTAATTAAATCAGGGGCCTTGTTTATTGGGATGCCGAAGCACAAACAGCTTCAAATCATCCCACAATCTGACAAAGGATTCATGCGACAAGACAACCCCTCGCTCTCTATACGTGCACCGTTTTATGACTCTTGATGTGGTGGGAGGTAATTTTTGTTTAACTAGGATAACATGTGTGAAGAGCACATTAACAACACAAGAGGCTGTTCGAGATGTGCTATTTCAAACATTCTCAGACCTCAGAGCTCTCCAGAGATGTCAATGATAATTGATTGTTTGCTTGTGTTATGCAGTGTTTATCGCGAAGCATGAAAGCCTGTAACGGTCTTGTTGGTCGCCTGAATCCTTGGTTATATGCTCTGTGGTCCAATCCATAATAATCCAAAATAATCTATATTTTTACTGACGTCAGAGTAGGGATGAAGCATTGGGAAAAAGTGAAGAGGAAAAGAATAAAACATTAAAACAGACACTCTTGACAGCATACAAAATTAAGGAATCTTTCCCAACAGCTAATATTGCTATTCTGTGTATCTAAAAACATGATACATCTGAATAAAAAAAGAAAAACAGATTTCAATATTATGCCTGTGCTATATTATACACAAACCATTTTTGTGTTGCACAATCAGAGGCTGAGGCAGTGTGTGAACAGAGGTGGCATAATTTTTTGCCTTTGGCTAGTTTATTTTATCATGCTGCTCCTCTAGGTAAAGTGAAATAGATCTCTGTTCATTTATTTCAGCACCTCGAGCAGTGTGGCCTCATAATGCTGGCCAATATGATTCAACATACAGCTATAATGGCCCTATTTGTCATAGGCCTTGGGAATAATGAAATTTAAAATACTGGGATCAGACATCTGCGTACTGCGGATCTGGGTTCACAACAAGCACACCATCGCAATATACTTCACTGTGAGAAGAGGAAGGGATGTGTGATTAGGGTACAAACTAAATAAATGTATATGCAAATGAAAGAACAAAGACAGAACAAGTTACCAATGGGTTAAGAAAAATAAAATGATAACCTAATAAAATATATTATATAAAAATAAATATATGTAAATGTATGTTTCAAATCAAAATGACTGTTTTCAAACAGGTTTCCTCTGTCTCTCATTATTCGGATTAACAGATATCCCCGCTCCCAATTCACACCATTGTATGAACCGGTGTTGCTGTTGGGCAAGTCAAACAAACAGAGCAATGTTTTGAAAGTGCCAAAGTGTTCATGCATTTCCGGAAAGTCAACGTACAAATGGCTTACTCATAGTTGTCTCTACATATTAAACTCAGATAAGCATTATAACACCAAAATAATTACATAACAAAAAGCTCTCAAGTAAACATTAATAAAGTATTGCTATAAGGATATATATTCTATATACATTTGTCTGTCTTAATTGAATAAATAATTAATTGAATTGCATCATAAATCATAAATGAATTGCATTCATAAAACAGATGTCGTAAGGGACATTTAGAGAAATGTGGATTCATATACACTCACCGGCCACTTTATTAGGTACCCCATGCTAGTAACGGGTTGGACCCCCTTTTGCCTTCAGAACTGCCTCAATTCTTCGTGGCATAGATTCAACAAGGTGCTGGAAGCATTCCTCAGGGAGTTTGGTCCATATTGACATGATGGCATCACACAGTTGCCGCAGATTTGTCGGCTGCACATCCATGATGCGAATCTCCCGTTCCACCACATCCCAAAGATGCTCTATTGGGTTGAGATCTGGTGACTGTGGAGGCCATTTTAGTACAGTGAACTCATTGTCATGTTCAAGAAACCAATTTGAAATGATTAGAGCTTTGTGACATGGTGGAAGTAGCCATCAGAGGATGGGTACATGGTGGCCATAAAGGGATGGACATGGTCAGAAACAATGCTCAGGTAGGCCGTGGCATTTAAACGATGCCCAATTGGCATTAAGGGGCCTAAAGTGTGCCAGGAAAACATCCCCCACACCATTACACCACCACCACCAGCCTGCACAGTGGTAACAAGGCATGATGGTTCCATGTTCTCATTCTGTTTACGCCAAATTCTGACTCTAACATCTGAATGTCTCAACAGAAATCGAGACTCATCAGACCAGGCAACATTTTTCCAGTCTTCAACTGTTCAATTTTGGTGAGCTCTTGCAAATTGTAGCCTCTTTTTCCTATTTGTAGTGGAGATGAGTGGTACCCGGTGGAGTCTTCTGCTGTTGTAGCCCATCCGCCTCAAGGTTGTGCGTGTTGTGGCTTCACAAATGCTTTGCTGCATACCTCGGTTGTAACGAGTGGTTATTTCAGTCACTGTTGCCCTTCTATCAGCTCGAACCAGTCTGGCCATTCTCCTCTGACCTCTGGCATCAACAAGGCATTTCCGCCCACAGAACTGCCGCTCACTGGATGTTTTTTCTTTTTCGGACCATTCTCTGTAAACCCTAGAGATGGTTGTGCGTGAAAATCCCAGTAGATTAGCAGTTTCTGAAATACTCAGACCAGCCCTTCTGGCACCAACAATCATGCCACGTTCAAAGTCACTCAAATCACCTTTCTTCCCCATACTGATGCTCGGTTTGAACTGCAGGAGATTGTCTTGACCATGTCTACATGCCTAAATGCACTGAGTTGCCGCCATGTGATTGGCTGCTTAGAAATTAAGTGTTAACGAGCAGTTGGACAGGTGTACCTAATAAAGTGGCCGGTGAGTGTAAATGACCCATCTTCAAATCTTTAGTCCTTAGTAAGTAAAAACAAATGAGATGCAACATTCTTGTGCATACTAATAATAAGCCAATGGCAAGCAAAGCGATTGCTGAGAAATTAAAGTCATTTGCCCCCGTCATCCACAGCTTTATGTCTTGAGTTTGCCAGACAAAACCCCTCCATCAGCACCTGTTGTCTCTAGAGAGGGCATTCCAGCAGCTCTGCCTCCAGAAGTCCAAAACAAAACACAGCAGCAAGGTCTTTCATGGAAAAGAATCCTGCAAACTCCCTTTTTGTGTAGATCCTCTGATCAACATATGCTGCGTTGTGCAGAAACATGATTCTCCTATAATAACCTTGAATAAATGGCTACACAGTTCGCTTTAGATTAAACACGCCATATAACTTGAGCTTGCTTAACTTGTCATGCTCATTAAAAAGTGGAAATGCAGAGAGGGTAAATTCACCCCACATGGTGCAATCAAAAAGCTTTTCTGCAAGGTACTGGCAGCATAAGTGACCTGTGCTGCTTTCTTTGCCACTGAAAAACATTTCTAGTAGCACATGGATATTTCCCATGAGACGGGGGTTTAAACATCCTCATGCACTTCCCACCCAGCTCAGCTTCTGCTCCTTTTGTCTGTGGGACCACCCAAATGGAGCACTTAACCCGCAAATCTGCCACCCTTTCACTATCGTCATCTCAATCTAAGATCTAATCACTTTTTGGTTTCACCAGAGCAAATCTCCGCGCCAACCTAGCAGAGGTCATAGTTTAGTTTAACTCTTTTGTTCTGCTGAGACTGACTTTACATGTTTGGAGTCCCAGAGACCATGCTGATGAGTAAAATTATAATTTTTAATTTCTTTATTAACCCTTAAAGGTTATTAAATATTCACTATTTCAAAAATAAAAAATAAATTTCCAAACATCATACATTATACACCTCAAAATTTGGGGTCGGTAAGATTATTATTATTATTATTTTTTTTAAATTAATACTTTAATTCAGCAAGGTTGCATTTCATTGATTAAAAGAAAGTAAATACATTTTTAATGTTACAAAAGATTTCTATTGCAAATAAATGCTGTTCTTTCAAACTTTCTATTCATCAATGAATCCTGACAAAAATCATGGTTTCCACAAATATATTAAGCCAACCATTCAAACGACGTTTATAAGAAGAAATGTTTCTTAAGCACCAAATCAGCTTATTAGAATGATTTCTGAAGGATCATGGGACACTGAAGACCGGAGTTATGATGCTGAAAATTCAGCTTTGCCATCACAGAAATAAATTCCATTTCAAAATATTAGTGTTAATTAAATAATTAAATCAGCTATTTTAAATTGTAATTCCATTTCACAATATTAGTGTTAACAAATAAATGCATCCTTGGTGAGGATTAGAGACTTCTTTCAAAAACATAAAAAAACATACTAACCCCACATTTTTGAACAGCCGTGTACAGTAACAATTTTCATGCAGGACATCTAAAGTGTGCTATCAAAACATTTTTTTTCATGAGATTAGCAAACGTCATTAAGTATAAACATGATTCTTTAATGCCTATATGTTTTTAAAGTTATTAAACATGATATAAAACAGTTTTTTTTTCTGTCGTGCAAGTTGAACCAAAGAACCAGTGGAAATTAATATGTAATAATAGCGGTAACAAAAAACACCAGACATCCGTGAGCCGAACAAGCCATCCGGTTCAGTCCCGAAAGGGGTGTGATAGCAATCTCTGCCTTGGAATTCATTCAGTGCATATATACACATATCATATGACATCTACCTATTTCATAAACTGTCTACAACTACAAGCAATATAACACTTACAGGGAGGACTTTGCTGCATTGCGCAATTATTGCTGTTGAAGTCTGTTTTTTTTTTTATTTCCTATATAAGTGTGTGCGTGCACGTACCAGGATGAGGGCCCAAATCAGGAATCGTGTCAGGATACTTTTATTCATTTTACGAAAAAACAGAAGAATCTTTCCAGCCTGTGGAGACAAAAACAAAGATTATTCCCAACGTCAGACTTAATGTTTTTTTTTGTATGGCAAAAATATGTGTATTAGGCTAGCACTTCAGGCCTAATAGGTCATAATCCTCTAAGCAAACTAAAATAATTAATAGCAAATAGACTGCTGGACAATAATGCCCATTATACGTCAGACTACTGATATCATGTTAGGACAGAGAGAGAGGATGTGAGCGGTGGTTGTGGCCCTGAAAAAGAGCTCAAGTTTCAACGCTCCCTGCGCAGCCATGCACGGCTGTGAAGTTGGCCGCGCTCACTGATTAATTCGGTGATGACGAATGAGCCTCAGCCGAGGACGCTGGAGCGGACGGACACAGACGGAGAGGCCGACACCTGCCGTGTTCTCAAAGACATGTTGATTGACGGGCTTGGCTCTAACTGTTTTTTGCCTCCGCCCACAGGGATTTCAGCAATGCAACCTTAGTTTGCACGGCTAGTTCTCACCGGTCACCGGGGCACTGTCACCATCAAAGGGTGAGAAACTTTTCTGACCTTTGCCAGAGACGCACACACATCTGTCCACAACAGCAAGGACCAGTGAGGTAGAACAGCTGTTTGTCTAAGAGTGTTGCCAGAAAATCCAGTTCAATATTATAGATTTGTCATTGCTAGTTGAAGTAAAAGTGAAATTCATCAATGAGTCAAGAAGAGAAAATGCTGAACAAGCCAATGATCTATAGTCTGTCAACTACACGGTTTGGATAAGTCACATGTTGGGCTTTGGATTAGGTTTGGGTTTTCTTTCTCATTTGTCACTGGTTCACTTTTGTTCAGTTATTTTTGGTGCATGTCCAGCAATAAGTGAATTTATTTTTATTTAATTTATTTACAATTTTGGACTTATACAGCTAGATCTGAACCTTGAATTTGATTGGACAGCATTCCAAGTGTTTTGCATTTTTTGTTTGTATCACTCCAATTGTCTGTGTTTGTGGCATTCCGGACAAGCTGTTAGGTTGCATTCAGAACTACTTTTGCTGAACTATTTAGAACAATTAAACCAAAAAAATTGTCCATATAGTACCTAAAATGAAAATGACTTAATATTAACTTCTTGTTTATATAAATATTCTTGCAATCTAGCAATCTATTCTTGCTTATAGCAATATCACAATTGCTCATTTGAAATTGCTTAACAACTGTACTATATATTAAATTACCTGCATACCAAAGAATCCCATGACTATGGAATTGATTGTACCCAGAACACCCTCGGGATCGAAGGGCTCTGTTGTATGATACAAGACCTAAAACAGAGAAAGTTGTGAATGAAGGCAAAACAGTACCTGAGAACAGAATTTATACACATTGCATTTACTGTAATCCCTACAATACCAATTTAAATGCCATTTTAATCATTTTAACTAGCTGTACTTCCACTTAAACAAGTGAACAATTAGCTGGTCATTATCGCTAAATAACCTCCGCGTGAATCTTACAACATGTCTACTCGTTACATTTGTCAATAAATGGACATATTGATTTGCAAAACCATGGATTGATACAAGAGACACAAAACACAGTGTAGGAGATTGGTTGCAGTACAACTATAATTTTTAGATCTAATTATGCACAAATATTTTCCACACAAACCCAATTGGCAAGTCACAATCAAGGATTAAGTTTGATGCATTGAACTGGTTAAAGATGATCAGTATGTGATTCTCACCTTGCATGTTGGATACCAGAAGATATTGTCTCTAAATAACCACCGGTCTATATACGCGGCTGCTCCTCCTGTGCAATTGGGGTATAAACCATCATCTCCAATACCACCAGCTCCTAAATATCCGCTAGCAGAGGAAACATAACGCAATATACAGTTCAAAAGTTTGAGGTTTAGGGATATTTTAATAAAGGAAGTCTCTGAAGAACACAGAGGCTGCATTTATTTGATCAAAAATACTATTGTGATTTATATTGTGAAATATATTATTACAATTTAGAATAACTGTTTCCTATTTTTAATTTTCAGCAGCCATTACTCCAGTGTTCAGTGTCACACGATCCTTCAGAAATCCTTCAGGATTCTTTGATACATATACAGTTTAAAAGAACAGCATTTATTTTAAATATAACTTTTTTTTAAACAATGTCTTTACGCTTGATCAATATATTGACCCCAAACTTTTGAATGTTAGTATATGATTTCCTTGTCATCAAATTATTATTTAACAGAAATGTAAAATAATGTATCATTCACCAGCACTGTTCATAGCACATATTGTTCCGAAAAATCTCAACAAAGAAACAGCCAAAGGTGACAGAGCACGGTAAATCAAGATAAATCAAATGTTTATTTGAGGAGTCTTTGGTTTAATTATTTAGATGGAAGTGTGTTTGGAGGTAGCAACATTTGAATGCAGCATTGTGCTGCAACACAAGGACAATGATTGTGAGGTCAAAATGCTTTTTATTCAGGCAGAATTATCGGTGCTCTGCATGTGATCGTCAATGTCATGCAGGGTCAGACACATTGAAAAAAAATCTTGAAGGAGAGGAGAAGGAGGACATAAATGGAAGGTTGAGCGGAATCAGGGAGAAAAACTGAGAGAGGCAGAGAAAGGATGATGAATCCTTTCTCTCTGCCTCCTTTTAGTCCACATGACAGACTGAGATTGGCTAATTATCCCCTCTAAACCGGCCGCCAAACACTCATAAATCACAGATCTCATAAGAGCCGCACAACACGGGCTTGTACGGCACAAACCCTTGAGCATTCGAAGACTCACAAACACAACAGCACACAAATGACCATATTGCGATGCATATATATGCACATTCTTGATGTAAATGTCCAACATTACCTCCGCCCTACATATATTCTCAGCGGCACGCTTGTGTAATAATGCTAACATATATGTCACCCAAGGAATTAGCTTGATGTATGAATGACATTATTATTATGTTAATAAAGGGATGAACTGCAGTTAATTCTAGCTTGACAGACACATTACACATTAATTATTGAATGCACAGGATTTATATTCCATATCACAGTGTTTGTATTGTTCAGTGCAATAGCTAATCACAATTCATCACAAAGCCTGACGCTAATATGAACTCACGTGGGGCAATTTGGAACAGGTAGTAAGAAAGTGAGACACAGCCACATGGTCTCCAGCAACACAATGATGAGCCATTCTGGCCAGTATAAAACCACATCTTGAATGGGGTTCCACCATTTATGCTGAGGAGAACATGCAGAAAACATACAGGGTTAGAAATCATTCAGTATTGCACGTTATTAAACTCAACAGTAATAAGCTAATATAAAAAATCACTGTCAACACATTGACTTCATTTTACTGTAACCTCTGGAAATTAATCATTATTTCAGAACAAGTGTCTTCCTGTACAGATGTCTGATCTGAGAGAAATGTGAGCCATAGAGTTCAACCCACCTCCATCAAGGGAATCTCTTTGTGGGGAGAGAAAGTCTGCATCACTGCCAGAACAAAATAGGTGAAACCCAAACGCTGGAGCACTCCGGGTATCCGTAGCCAGGACCAGGATACTAACAAATTTAGGCGCACACACACATATAAACATACAAGATTACAATTACAGACTATTGATGGAACACTCCTATATTATGTATTTTTAATAGGTTTGCATTTAATAGGAGTCAGCAAGCAGGTCAATGGTGGGCTTGTGTGTCTGTAGCTGTACAAGTGATTTTCCTATTAAGTTTGAATCTTTCTTTGGATTCAACTCTGTCATATCAGATATTACAGGAATATACTTTATTCAGACCTTTGCTGTAAAATCAGTGCAGGCAAGTTCATTTTCTGTCATAATTCAAATCATTGAAAAATACACTGCATTGTGGGATAATACTGTAGGTCAATTAGTTCAAACTCAATTGTGATATGCAATTAAACAAAATTTGAAATTAAAAGACATTTTTAACAAATAAGTAGCCAATAGTGACAAAGAAACAGTAAAGTAAAAAAAAAATCAGCCTATTAAAATGATTTCTGGAGGATCATGATGTGACACTGAAGACTGAAGTAATGATGCTGAAAATTCAGCTTTGCCATCACAGGATTAAGTTACATTTTAAAATATTAAATAGAAAAAAATATTTTATAGTTAGTTATTTAAATTATAAGAATATTTTACAACAATACAGTTTTTAATGTATTTTTGATCAAATAAATGCAGTCTTGGTAACTTTTCTTTCAAAAAATCGTAGCTATCCAAAACATAGCTGTATATATTTACACATATATATTTCCTGATCAGTTCATTAAATCCCAATATATGACTGTCATTTATTTTTCCTGTAGAACTACTGTGTATCTTATACAGTGAATATACAGCAAGGAATTTTACTGTACATCTAAAGTCTGAATACTTATACAGGGTGTGTTGTTTTTCACTGAAGAGAAGATTTATGTTTATAACAGGCTAATGATGGTTATGCTGACACAGACCCAGGCTGAGGTGAGAAGTCTTTCACTGCAGGACAGTAGAGGTGTGATCTACCCTGCCGGAGACTAATAATGCTTATCTGAAGAGATTCTGGCGGGGAGGGTGATGTGAGGGAGCGATATAGAGCGAGAGATTGATGGTAATCTGCACATTAGTTAATTGAAAACCTCTTTGTGGCACATACGAAGGGCCACAAGAAACAATATAATACTGATCATTGATCTAACAAATCAAATAAAAAGCGGAAACACTCCACCTCTGCACGTAGAGACAGGAAGTGGTTCGGTGACTAATGGTATCCGTCAATTAAAACCCATATACACACACTTTCTAGAGCAAATCTGCTCTGTAATTTATCAATCAAAGAATCGACAATCAGGAATTTTGCAAAAAGATCCGTTTTACAATCAACAATGTAATGATTTAAATGTGTTTACCTGTAAACGATGAAATTATGGAACGAAAAAAAAAAGGGTACACTATGCAAAACTGGGACTGTTTTGGTAGATAAAACCATTAATGCACATCTTTCCATGATTACGCTTCTTTAAATTAAGTTCCAAGGATGATAATGGCTTCAGTGGCCAAGCAGAGACAGACTGACTAAAATCTTCACTGGTGCCATGTTTAAATAGATCATTAAGTCAAATGATTTTCAATGAATTGTAATACATTTTGTTGCATTTGAATGCAGGTATATTGTGGGAAAATGGTTTCCAAACATCATTCTGAGTGATTCACAGGCTGAGGTAATTTCTGCAGTTTAGGGCAAAAGCTGTAATTACATTACATGAAGTTCCATAAAATCCACTGTGCAGCTGGCATGATGAAACCCTATCTGTGATAATTGACCATTAACGGCAAGCTTGTTTTTGCTCTGCACACCTCTGTTCAACGGGCCCAGATATTATGATTGCCACTGGATCACTGGAAAGTATCACAATATTTTTGTTAACTTAGTTACACATCCATCTAGCCAGACAGCTAATACTGCTTTGGCTAATGTATGAGCACTGCTCTGTACTGACCTGTCAGACAGTCCTCCCTGCCCTCCTTGCTTAACCCCGACAGTCCTAATGTGCTGCTCTGAGGCCCCCGATTAGACATTTTGGCTTCTCCTCTTCCATCATTAACAGAGGCTAATGGACTTCATTTGTAAAACGAGGATTTGGTGACTTAGATATGTAACGCTTTTGTATTACGTGAGGAAAAGTTCACAGTCAGATTGAAAGGTGCAGGTCACTCTTTGTTTGGTATCAGTCACTGCCACCCAGAATAGAACAACAGTAATGAGATTTATTGCTTTCTATTGTGCTATGATAAATCCAATGCAATACAAGATGATGCATCATGTCAATTCAAACTTTGTGCATGTGCACCATTGACTTTTTTGGACTTTCAAAGAAACTTACTAAACAAAACAATATATACAGTGTGTATATATATATATATATATATATATATACACTCACCGGCCACTTTATTAGGTACCCCATGCTAGTAACGGGTTGGACCCCCTTTTGCCTTCAGAACTGCCTCAATTCTTCGTGGCATAGATTCAACAAGGTGCTGGAAGCATTCCTCAGGGAGTTTGGTCCATATTGACATGATGGCATCACACAGTTGCCGCAGATTTGTCGGCTGCACATCCATGATGCGAATCTCCCGTTCCACCACATCCCAAAGATGCTCTTTTGGGTTGAGATCTGATGACTGTGGAGGCCATTTTAGTACAGTGAACTCATTGTCATGTTCAAGAAACCAATTTGAAATGATTAGAGCTTTGTGACATGGTGGAAGTAGCCATCAGAGGATGGGTACATGGTGGCCATAAAGGGATGGACATGGTCAGAAACAATGCTCAGGTAGGCCGTGGCATTTAAACGATGCCCAATTGGCACTAAGGGGCCTAAAGTGTGCCAGGAAAACATCCCCCACACCATTACACCACCACCACCAGCCTGCACAGTGATAACAAGGCATGATGGTTCCATGTTCTCATTCTGTTTACGCCAAATTCTGACTCTAACATCTGAATGTCTCAACAGAAATCGAGACTCATCAGACCAGGCAACATTTTTCCAGTCTTCAACTGTTCAATTTTGGTGAGCTCTTGCAAATTGTAGCCTCTTTTTCCTATTTGTAGTGGAGATGAGTGGTACCCGGTGGAGTCTTCTGCTGTTGTAGCCCATCCGCCTCAAGGTTGTGCGTGTTGTGGCTTCACAAATGCTTTGCTGCATACCTCGGTTGTAACGAGTGGTTATTTCAGTCACTGTTGCCCTTCTATCAGCTCGAACCAGTCTGGCCATTCTCCTCTGACCTCTGGCATCAACAAGGCATTTCCGCCCACAGAACTGCCGCTCACTGGATGTTTTTTCTTTTTCGGACCATTCTCTGTAAACCCTAGAGATGGTTGTGCGTGGAAATCCCAGTAGATTAGCAGTTTCTGAAATACTCAGACCAGCCCTTCTGGCACCAACAATCATGCCACGTTCAAAGTCACTCAAATCAACTTTCTTCCCCATACTGATGCTCAGTTTGAACTGCAGGAGATTGTCTTGACCATGTCTACATGCCTAAATGCACTGAGTTGCCGCCATGTGATTGGCTGCTTAGAAATTAAGTGTTAACGAGCAGTTGGACAGGTGAACCTAATAAAGTGGCCGGTGAGTGTATATATATATATATCAATGAAAATTAAGTTTTAAATGTAAACAAATTTCTCACACAAAATAAAAAAGATGCTCTTTTTCATTCAACAAAACAGCATCACTGGCAGATCAGATGCAGCTTGTTAGGTCAGGATTTAAACCTGAATACCCCTCCCTAAACAAAAACTGTATCACTATTCCATCTGACATTTATATAAAAACTATTAAGCAGTTAAACATGTTTTATCTGTCCTGGGGCACCAAGTGATCCAATGTCCCTAGTGTCCCTCAAAAATAAAATAAAATAAAATGAAAACACTTTACAATAAGGTCCCATTAGTTATAGTTATGCATTAATTAACTATATGAGCAAAACATTTGTTAAAGCATTTATTAATCCTTGTTAGTGTTAGCTAGAAAAAATGCAACTTAATAGTTCATGTTAGCGAAGTTAAAATTAACATTAAATAAGACTAATAAATGCTTTTTTTCAGTTTTAATAAAAGTATTTTTCATAGTTAGTACATGTTAACTAATGTAAACCAATGGAATCTTATTGTAAAGTGTTACCAATAAAATAAAATAAAACAACAACTGTTGTAGAGGAAGACTGAAAAATAATGTATGTATAGCCTACTCACAAAATCCATCTCTTGGGCTGTAGTTCATGAAGCAGAACCCGATGAGTATCAGGACGATGGTTCTCCAAGTAACCTTGCGAAGAAGCTGTAGCCATGAAACACCTTTTCTATGCATCGAGTTGAATGCTAGCACTACAGAAGTACCCATGATGAACACAAACCTTGCCAAAGGATTAAAGACAGTATTATTGTAACATACAGAAACATACTGTGTCATTTCAACATTGGGCATCACTACTGATATGTGTGCTTTTGGGATATTTGCCCTGGTTAATGCAATATTTAAAGCAGTTCTGTTTTACTGGTTTTTGTATGTCAAAAAACATTGAAGGAATAAATGGTAGAGTGTGCACAACTTTCTATGAACAACCTTTGTCCTTAAACATTTCCATAACAATTAAACCCACAATTTAAAGTGATAGTTTGCTCCAAAATTTTGTCATCATTTACTCACCCTCATGTTGTTCCAAACCTGTATGAATTTCTTTCCTCTGTTGAACACAAAATAAGATATTTTGAAGAATGTCAGTAACCAAACAGTTGTGGGGCACCATTGACTTCCATAGTATTTTTTTTCCTACCATGGAAGTCAATGGGGACCAGAAACTGTTTAGCTACCCATATTCTTCAAAATATCTTATTTTGTGTTACAGAGGAAAGAAATTCATACAGGTTTGGAACAACATGAGGGTGAGTAAATGATTACAGAATATTCATTTTTGAGTGAACTATCCCTTTAAGGCTGATGCGGCATTTGGCCTTTTTTAAAGAAGTAACCGGGTATTACAAGCTTTATACTCTCAGAGAAAGAAAGATTTATCGGCATAGTCAAAGCATTATAAATAGTACTGGGTTGGAAAAGCCTTAAATCTGAATGGTTTTGAAGGGAGATCCAAACTGTTGGACTGAAGTCCCACTCTTTTCCATATTAATCTCCAAAATGGAAAGTAATAATTCTCCATCGATTCGTTAAGTACATGCTGGCAGCTCACCAAGGCATCACAAGATCAGCTACTGTGAGACCTGTAACGTACATGGAAAAAGACATTCACGCATGAAAACCACACACACTTCTGGTGCATGTCTGTCTACAGTTGCTGGAAAGTTGGCTGTTTGATTGACACGTAGTAAATGCATAATCTAAATGCTGAATGACTGACAAAATAAGTTTTATCCATATAATCACACTTAATTGTAAACAAATGGTGTCATTAAGAGCATAATAACTGATGATAAAAGATTGTGTGCCCTTAAAAACATTGTTTTCTCATTATTTTTCGATTTTCAGACAGCAATGATTTATAAATGCTCACACAGCCATGACAGAGGAGGCCTCACAGTAATATGAAAATCCATCTGCTTTCCCTTATGATCAATACAATTCTGCTGATATGATGAAGAGGCCATTATGATCCTTAAATTGAGTTCATCTGTGAATACTCCAGGAGATGTGCTTCGTAATAGACCCCCATTAAAATTAAACATGCAACCCCTTCTCATCTGCGTCCTTTGAGGATGTTCATCCAAACGACATGCTGTAGATTTGAAGAATAAATTTCATGCTGAATTAAGGTGCAATAAAGCACTTTAAATGTAAGTATTTGATATCATTGGGTCTTTGGTAGTCTGTATAGATTTATGATGTATCATTTTGCCTTGCATTTCATATTGGAAGCCCTTAATTAGTGGTATTTATTTATATATATAAAAAAACATTTAATATCTTAGAACACATAAGTGTGTATTGCAAGCTCTGTTCCAAGCCAAAAAAAGAAAGAAAAAAAAGAAAAACAAGCTACAAGGGTTGCACATGTTACATGTTAAAATGAAGCATTTAGGAGTCAAATAATTTTTTTTGTCAAAAAAATTACAAGCCTGCTCAACAAATAAGTACTTTTGCTCATTGGGTGAATGATTATTTGGTTCATTTCAAACTAGACAAAAGCAAAAATCACATCACGATTCACTGTTTTGTGAATCTCATTGACTGACTCAATAATACAAATTCATTAGTTCACAAATTGGACATCACAGCTCAGAAACACAAGAAGTTGATATCTGACAAAACTGCCTATAGATGCACACAAAGTTTTCCTGATTTTTTGTCACATTTGCAGTCAGTTTAGTTGCAATATGGAGCCCTGTATAGAGTAACAATTAGAAAGCTCATCATAGATCATTATGTAACCTATCAGCAAAATAACCCACCATTCCATGGTGCATGTTGGAAGAACCAGTAACCACCTCCTCCATAGTTCACAAATACCATGACCGTCAGGGAGAATCTGTAAACACAAACGACACTGAAAATAGAATACAGAATACAGAGTAAAGATAGGCTATTAACCAAAAAGAATATTAAGCAAATATTAAGTCTATTAAAGGGGCTATGTGTAGGTTTTTACTTAAAAAATCTTTAAGATAGAGTCTTCATTTGTACATTGATGAGCCAACCATAATGTAATAGAAAGAATGACACCTTGGGCCCTATCTTGCACTCGGCGCAAATGACTTTGTACACTGACGCATGTATCATTCCTATTTTGCACCCGCGCAAAGCGGACTTTTCCCTCCACAGACGCACGTCGGTTAACTAAGAAATACACTTGCGCTCCCCGGGGCGGTTCAGCGCAAAGAGGAGGCGTGTTCCGGCGCAAACTTTCCCTCATGCTATTTTGCTGTTCTATAAAACAATTGCGCCACTGACCAGAAAAAAAGTAGTCTAAAGTCAGTGGCGCGTTGCGCGTTGTTCATCAAGCTATTTTAAGGGCGCATGCTTGACCATAATCAATGTAGCGTGTGCACAACGCGCATACACTTTGATTCTCTCATCTAAGCAGCCGTTTTCATTTTTGCAAATCATACATTATTAGGCTACGATAGATAGATAGATAGATAGATAGATAGATAGATAGATAGATAGATAGATAGATAGATAGATAGATAGATAGATAGATAGATAGATAGATAGATAGATAGATAGATAGATAGATAGATAGATAATTTATTGTAAAAGCATACATGAAGCTTACACATTTACGCAAATTATCATACGCCTGTTTAACAGAAGTTAATTTGGGTGGGTTTCTCCATCCCCAATGTCACTTCTCTGTGTTTTACGGCCCTGACGAGAACGTTGCTCTCCTCGGCTGTGAACCGCTCCTGGCGCGCGCCTGGCAAATCCGCCGTTATAATAGGAATCCGCTTTAGAACAAGCGCGCCTGCTCTTAAAGGGAATGTGAGATGACGCTCTGATTGGTTTATTTCACGTTACGCCCAAACCACACCTATGAATAATGAAGCTACTTCGGACCAACCCCTTTTAGATTTGCGCCAGGCGCAAGAGGCATTTATCCCGCCGGGAAAATAGCAACAGCGCCGGGATCCGCCCACAAAGTTACTTGCGCTTTGCGCTTTGACACTTGCGTTTCAGATCGTTAAAATAGGGCCCCTTGACTGTCCACCACGGTTGCCTCTATCAGCCTGTAGGCTCAATTTTGTGTGGAGGAGTCGGGTCCGAATTGGCGTGAAAATTCACAAAATGTGACGTCATGCGCGTTCTCGTCTACTTGGGCTTACATCCGTATGGCAGCCATTAGTAAGCAGCACAATCGCTAGGAGTAGTGTTTCAAATGGACTCTGCGGACGGAAAGAAGCGACCAGCCTCCAGCACAATCCAGACACCCACGGAAACTCCTCGTAAAAAAAGAAAGAAAAAAAAGCCTTATCTAGTGCGGCCAATGAGCGTGCGAGCGTGTGCACCGAGAACGAGCATGAGACTGGCTGCAGTTTCTCTAACGGCCACTGGTGTCAGTAACGGTAAGAAATTTCAGAACTTCCGCAATGCTCCTTTAATGTTTCATATCCTCCTGAGACCCAGAAAAAAAAAGTTTTTTGAATTTAGTTTTTTTCCATGTCATCACACTGTTTAGAGCACAATAAACAAATGGTAAAAAAACACATATATAAAATAATATTTTATTCATACGTTATGCTATGTCCTCTGTAGTGGACGCCAGGACTAAGTTGTTTAAAAAATAAAATGACATGAAATTATATGTATAGGCAAAAACAATGGGGTTTTTTTTCAATCACCAATAAATTTTGGGGTTTCAGGATTTTTTCAACCAAAATTTGTATAAAGATTATTCTCAACTATGTTATGAAAGAAATAATGGAATGAATTGATACACCATTTTACTTTTTGCAATATGTGGGTAAAATGGCCATAAATTAATATTCCCATTCAATGCAATGTATCTATACACTGTATCTAATTTGCACATTAATGTGTTCTTGGAGCAACATTTAATGAAAAAAGAAGTGTAAAAATTGGAGTAATAATTGGCAACATTTTAATAATAATATCTAATATTTCATAGGAATATTGATGTATAAATTATTTCCATATTCACTTGTTGTGTCTCCCAGAATGCCTGATAAACATGATTTTAGTCCTGATGTCCTCTACAGTGGACACGTTTGAAATCAATGCCCTGTTCTGTAACAGAAAGTTTTTTTTTATTTGAAACCCCTTAACATTTTCCTGAGATGTTGTTTTATGAAATACAATTTGAAAAAGTAGTCCAATTTAAATATAATTACAATATATTATCATATTTCCATAAGAATGCTACATTTGATCACTAAATTAATGTCAGACATTTTTAAAGACCAAGGAGAAGTTGTTTTCATGGTGAAACCTCCAAACATTTGGTATCTCTCAAAAGTCCTGGATGTGCTCTTTACAGGACACCCAGGTTCTGTCATGTGACATGTATGATGTCAGAGAAATTCACTAAAATATAATGTCCACTACAGTGAACAAAAGTCTATTCTTGGGTCCCAGGAGGATATTGTTAATGATCAGAATTCAAACAAGGCAGTCAGAAGACTTTTGACGTCTTATAATTTATAACCTACAACACTACCATTCACAAGTTTGGGGTCAGTAATATTTCGTTTTAACAAAATTTCTAGTTTTAATTTGTGAGGATCCATTTAATTGATCAAAAGTGGCAAATAAAGACATGTATAATGTTTCAAAAGATTTCTATTTAAAATAAATAATGTTTATTTAATCAAAGGATTCTGATAAAATTGTAATATGGTTTCCACAAAAATAAAAAGTAGCAGAACCATTTTAACATTGATAATAATAAGAAATATTTCTTGAGCACCAAATCATCCTATTAGAATGATTTCTGAAGGATCATGTGACACTGAAGACTGCAGTAATGGCTGATGAAAATTCAGATTTGGCATCATCAGTAAATTACATTTAAAATATTAAATAATATAATAGAAAACAGTTATTTAAATGGTAATTATAATTCTCAAGATATGTTTACTGTATTTCTGATCAAATAAATACAGCCTTAGTGAGCATAAGAGACTGACTCCAAAGTTTCAAACTGTATATATGTTTGTAAACAAACAAACAAACAAAACATATCTTTATAAAATATCATCCGGTCCCTCAACTCTCACTTGTACATTTGAGGTAAACTGTATCAGTATTATGCATCATAAGGCAAGAGGGTTTAGCATTTGTTTTATATATCAAAGACGAAATGCTGTGTAAGGTAATGCAACCTAAGCATTATGAATCACTCAGGAAATGAACGGTTGTCCTCTGAATCGCCCCACCCAGAAGTGCTGACTAAAGCCATCGGCTGTAATTTATTGTAGACGTGTAACTTAGAGCAACGAAGCCAAGCTGCAACTTATTGTGCATGATGGAACACTACATTGAATTAGCAGCAGCAGCAGGAGATGTTTTTTATTGCATGTCAGAAAATGCATGTTTGCACTACGCGGCATAAAATATACCTGTGGACATGAAACTGATTTTGGTGATCAAACTCAGAGATAACCCCTCAGCTATTAAACTGACAACACGTAAATCATGGTGTTGAAGTGTGTTCTCTATGGTTTCTCAGTATAAGAACATACTGAGAAACCAAAGCACTGTATAGACCTTCAGATAAACTTCACTCTATCTAAACGATCTAAATTTTTCCTCACCAAATTCAATTAGCAGATCAGAACAGAGACCATTACTGCTCCTTTTAGGCCTAACCTGCTGATACAAGATTTTAATCACATGCCATCCTCTAAAGAGCACTATTAAAGTAAGCATGTCTTTGTCTTTCTTGTCTCTCTCTCTTTCACACACACTTTGCGACTGCATCCATTAGTATCCATAGTAACAAAGACAAAGGTGAAGTCATTTTCAAGATGAGACTACAGCACAATGTTTGCTATATAGCATGTTATAGCCAATCATTTTAATTAAAAAACCCTCAGTGTTAGGGAGGCGTTCAATCTTCTAAAAAAAAGCCTTCTAGTGGACATTAAATATTTTATAGCTTTAAGCTCCCTTTGTCTTAATGTCATAACCTGAATGTAATCAAAAAACTGCAGCAGACAGTAAAACAATGTTGTGTTTTTGTGTTGCTTCTCATTATCAATTGTTGTTAACCATAGTAAAAATATATATATTTTGGCAGTAACTCCCAGAGTATATTTGTCATTGTCATATTATCCCACAGATATAGCTCTTTGTAATCCCTGAATGGGCACATTTGTGATTTATATATGTACTGCAGTTCAGTAAAAAGCCTGAGATATCAAATAAAACTAGTACAGGTAAAACATAATTATGAAAAATTATTAAAACAGAAGAGTTGCAACAGAAGTACGATTTACATCCAAATCACATAGTAAATGCCAAACATCAAAAACAAAACTAAACCCGTTATTAAAAGTAAGGAGTTTCCTGCTTAGGAAAGTATTGGGTATATTTAACTAATTGGGAACATTTTGTTGTGGTACATTTGCTGTTAGTGTAACTTATCATTATTACAAAACCACCAACCTCAATTTGTAATCACAAATATGAGGAAACTGGTTGCAGGCTTTTGGCTGGCGAGATGAAAAACCAGATCCTTTTAAAAAAATTAAAATGCAAACAAAGTCTACAGTTATACTATATATCATGTTGATGACATCTGATGAATTGAGGGCGCTGTTCTTCAGCTCTGAGGAAAAACGTAGCCGCAACAATTTCACCAGGGCGGTGGGCAGATGACAGATGCTTCTTCTTCAGTGAAAAGTTTTGACTCACTGCTGGACAGGCCATATTTCATGTTATACAGCAAGGGAGTTGAAACACTACGGGCTTTCTCTGGGTTGATATTCTCACAGAGAGCCAAAGACATCTACCGACATTATTAAGTTCCACGTATAGCCAAATCAGGGATCCCATGTGTACTTTCCACAGTGTTGATTTTGTTTTGGATCTGCAATAACTGCAAAGCTCTTGTGAAACATCATGCATTTGTTGCAGAATCCAATATTACTTCGACATCATGAATCAACAGACCTGACAAGCCAGCTGTGATGTCATCCTCTGAGTCTATATGTATGAGATGATGTCTATATCATATTCAAATTCAGCATTAGTTACAGATTACAGAATACGTAGGCTGAAATGAAGGAAACGGTGAAACAAAGAACGAGTCTCCAGCCACACTGATAAAACCATTAGGCTTAACAAGGAAATGGACTGTTTCATATACAAGAGCAAAAGCAGGTGTAGACTGAGTGGAACATCTGTTTTTATCAGCACTATGGTTTACAAGGAATATCATTATGGATATGAATGGAACATTTATGAAAAGTTTCACATATAAAGGTGGGGAAAACATTATGGTGACGGGCAATTCTAAGAAACATAAAAGCTTACTGTCATTCTTACTGTCATTGATAGTACAAATTGCCACTCCTGATTGCTATCTGAAAAGCACTTTTGCAACACACATGGATTATCCATTACACAAATCTCGATCTGGAAAGTCATATCCTCCACAGCTCCAGATCTACAGCCTGCTGAATATGTGCTGATATGATGCCTGTATTATTACATCAATTACTGGGATGTGAGAGGTCAAAGCCACAGCAGCTTCCTGTTTCAGGAGAGGCGTGCTTATGTGTTTGCCCCCAAGCCACTATCAAGCCCTGCTGGGCTTCCCGATTAAATCACATCACCCTTACTCAACAGCAATCCACTGTTCCCCACCATAGAAGCAAAATATATTAGAGATGATGCCTAGAGCGACCACTAGAAACAATGGCTCGAGTGAGTGTATGTCCAGCCTGTGACCCCTTGCAATCTCCTTAGTCTCACAATACATTCTCTGAGTGAATGTGGCCAACTGATAAATATTAACAAAATTAAGTTGTTACCGTTTTAGTCAAAATAATTTTTTTTTTTTTTTTGGCACATACCCTCGAAATGTGTCCAGTGACTTCAATCTGGATGACTTTGTTTTGCTTTTGTCCACACAATGTTCATTATTTGCCTCCTCCTAAAATAAGCAAAAACAACCAATTTAGTATGAATTTTAAGACCCAGGTTTTATGTAAGTTTATTAAGACGCATTTGTAAATGAGCCTTTAAATCTATTTTTTCCCCACTTAATTAGCATGAAAACAATTTAAGCTAAGAATGTTTCAGTTAGAAAATTTTATAATATACACTCACCTAAAGGATTATTAGGAATACCTGTTCAATTTCTCATTAATGCAATTATCTAATCAACCAATCACATGGGAGTTGCTTCAATGCATTTAGGGGTGTGGTCCTGGTCAAGACAATCTCCTGAACTCCAAACTGAATGTCAGAATGGGAAAGAAAGGTGATTTAAGCAATTTTGAGCGTGGCATGGTTGTTGGTGCCAGACGGGCCGGTCTGAGTATTTCACAATCTGCTCAGTTACTGGGATTTTCACGCAGAACCATTTCTAGGGTTTACAAAGAATGGTGTGAAAAGGGAAAAACATCCAGTATGCGGCAGTCCTGTGGGCGAAAATGCCTTGTTGATGCTAGAGGTCAGAGGAGAATGGGCCGACTGATTCAAGCTGATAGAAGAGCAACTTTGACTGAAATAACCACTCGTTACAACCGAGGTATGCAGCAAAGCATTTGTAAAGCCACAACACGCACAACCTTGAGGCGGATGGGCTACAACAGCAGAAGACCCCACCGGGTACCACTCATCTCCACTACAAATAGGAAAAAGAGGCTACAATTTGCAAGAGCTCAACAAAATTGGACAGTTGAAGACTGGAAAAATGTTGCCTGGTCTGATGAGTCTCGATTTCTGTTGAGACATTCAGATGGTAGAGTCAGAATTTGGCGTAAACAGAATGAGAACATGGATCCATCATGCCTTGTTACCACAGTGCAGGCTGGTGGTGGTGGTGTAATGGTGCGGGGGATGTTTTCTTGGCACACTTTAGGCCCCTTAGTGCCAATTGGGCATCGTTTAAATGCCACGGCCTACCTGAGCATTGTTTCTGACCATGTCCATCCCTTTATGGCCACCATGTACCCATCCTCTGATGGCTACTTCCAGCAGGATAATGCACCATGTCACAAAGCTCGAATCTGTACTAAAGTGGCCCCCACAGTCACCAGATCTCAACCCAATAGAGCATCTTTGGGATGTGGTGGAACGGGAGCTTCGTGCCCTGGATGTGCATCCCACAAATCTCCATCAACTGCAAGATCCTATCCTATCAATATGGGCCAACATTTCTAAAGAATGCTTTCAGCACCTTGTTGAATCAATGCCAGAATTAAGGCCTGAAGGCGAAAGGGGGTCAAACACAGTATTAGTATGGTGTTCCTAATAATCCTTTAGGTGAGTGTACTTTATATACTGTAATATATATATATATATATATATATATATATATTTTTTTTTTTTTTTTAAATATACTTTAAAAAATATATATTTTACAATAAAATGGTATTAAATATATACCCCCGGTTTCACAGACAAGGCTTAAGCTAGTCCCAGACTAGAATGCATGTTTGAGCTGTTCTAAATGAAAGCAATTTGCACTGACATATCTTAAAATTTGTCAGTGCCATTGATTTGTTTCAAGATGCACACCAGTAATGTTTTTTTCCTCTAAAAGATACTTAAATGTGCTATCTTAATCTAAGCCCTGTTTGTGAAACCGGGCCATAATGTAATATAATATATATAATTGTTAATGAGGAAAGGTGAGAATCCAAGTGCAGCAACAGTTTATTAAAAAACACAAACCAAGATAATCCAGACAGGGGAAACCAGAGGAAACACCTCCAAAACACTTGAAGAAACCTTCCTGCAAAGCTACAGTACTGTGAAAAGTTTTAGGCACTTGTGAAAAAATACTGTAAAGAGAGGATGCTTTAAAAAATAATGTCCAAAATAGATTTTAATTATTAAGTAACTACTATTAACAAAATCAAATGTTTGGTGTGACCACCCTTTGCATTTAAAATAGCTTTTGTCCTAGGTATACTTGCACATAGTTTTTCAGGTAGCTTTGCCAGTAGGTTTCTTCAAGCATTCTTCTGGATTTTGTATGTCTCTGTTTTTTCTGTTTCTTTACGTAATCCCAGACGGACTCGATGATGGTGAGATCAGAACTCTGAGTGGATCATACCGGCTGTTGTCAGACTCCTCATCTTACTGGATTATTACAATTAATGGCAAAAAGGATGTTTGGAAATGTAAACTGATATTTCCTACTGACACACTACAGCAAAAGATATACTGTAAAAATACTGCAAATAACTGTCTGTAAATAATAATTTCACACAGTACTATGTATATACTGTATACAAACGATAATAGCATATATATTTTTAAGACAATGTTGCACAGAACTAATAGAATAATGATTAGAATTGGTGTCAAATGAGGAAATTAAGATTTCTGGATTAAGAACTCCAAATAAATTAAATCTAAAAATCAGTCGTGGCTTTGCCCATTTTTGGGTAGCGTGAGCAGCCTCAAGCATGTTTGGAGAGCATGAATAGTTTCTCTCATTTCCAAAGGAAGATGTTCCCATTCACCATATGGTCTTACGATGGCAGTGAGATCCATCAGAAAGAAATTAGCATTACCCTCTTCCTGCTCTGGCTCTCCAAACAACTGCATGATAGGCCACAGACAAAGCTAATCAAACTTTCAGACCAGGACAATCAAGCAATGCAATACCACAGAAAATTAAACTATATCCACTACAAGGCTCCATAGACGTCTCAATGAGGCATTTTCATTTTAGATGTGATCATCCTGGAAATTGCAGATTAGGATTGCTATGAACTAACCATAAACAAATTCAGTGTTTGACGCATAACATATGTTCCTATTTTATGATGCATGAACCGTTTTGCCCTCACCATTTCCATGGAGTTTTGAGACCTGTGACAGCAGATTCGATTCTTTAGCCTCTGTGTACAGCTGCATCTGTAGAGGTATAAAACATTCATTCAACTTAAACAAATGTTGTGTTCAAACATGAAAAACACACACACACACACAAAAAAAAAAAAAAAAACGGTTTACATACACTGCCATTCAAAATTCAGTAATTTTTTTGTGTGTTTGAAAGAGTCTCTTATGCTCACCAAATCAGCATTTATTTGATCAAAAATATACAATTAAAATAGTAATATTGTTTTCTGTGATGACAAAGCTAAATTTTCAGCATTACTCCAGTCTTCAGTGTCCCATGATCCTTCAGAAATCATTCTAACATTCTGATTTTGTGCTCAAGAAACATTTCTTATTATCAATGTTAAAAACACTTGTGCTGCTTAATATATTTGTTAAGGTTATCGCTGTGTCTGAATATGCCTACTTCCATGTACAGTTAATAGTAGGCGAAAAACAGTATGTGAGCAAAGTAGTATGTCCGACACTTTACTATCCCATGAGGACATAAGAGAGGATTTTTGAATGGAGGTGAAGCGATGCAACTGATGCCAGAGGTCACATGATAATGAAAACATGGCGGATATATTACATTCGAATTTCATTCATACTACACACTTTCATATTATAAAACTTTTTTTTTTTTTGGTTGCAAAGTAAGTTAAAAAAAAACTAAATGTAGTACCTACTATACAGTATGCGATTTCGGACGCAGCATGATACAGTTTTTTAGGATTTTTGTAACATTTGAAAAATTATAAATGTCTTTACTGTTGCTTTTGATCAATTTAATGCAGGGTTCTCAGGGTTCGTGTCGCAAAAGTGGATCAGTAACGTGAGAAATACACGGTGTGGAGTGTGAGCGTGTGAACTGGTTGAATTGCGTGTGTCTCACGGCCAATGCGTGACGGTGAGACTTGAGAACCCTAATGCATTGTTGCTGAATAAAAGTAATAATTTCTAAAAAAAACAAATCCTACTTAACCCAAACTTTTGAACGGTAGTGCAATTACTCAAATTTGAAAGAGAAAAACAGCTAATATTGTTACCTGAGTATACAAGGCAAAGAGGCCCAAAATACAGCGACAGAAGCCAGAACCAAGAATGCCGCCAACAGCGCTAAAGAATCAATACCAAACACATAAGAGCAAAGGTTATACACACTTTTTCTGCTGTTTCTGCAGTTATTGTGAGGAGAACTTGTTTTTAATGTTCAGCAATAAGGATCCTGTGAATGTTCCTTGCAGACAGTAAGTAGTCTGTTAGAGTAATTAAAAGTAAAGGGTTAAAAACATGTTCAGTTTATACGATTTTCTCAGCCTTTGCTCTGAACAGCCTCTGTCACCCATGCTATGCCACAAGGGAGCTCTCAAGAATCCAGCAGTGTCCTTTTATGTAATCTGAAACCAGTCTATAGGCGTACAATCAATCTATGAAACCCTAGCCTTGGGTCTCCAATAATGCCATGTACTGAGGCAATATTTTCACAGTGCATGATGGAATGGATCATATTGGCTACCAGAGGCCGCCCTCCATGATACTGGCTGCTTAGAGGAAGGTGTAAAACAGGAAGCATGAATGTATTAGGAAGCTACAGACGTTTTTATTGAGTTTGTGTATACTGCAAGATAAAACTGAAAATCATACTGAAGTGAGATCAGGAGCATTTGATATACTTTTTCACTTTCCATAAAACCAAATTGAGTTCAGCATTGTTACATATTGCTTACATAAGGTCTAAATTGGAAGCCCACCGTTTATCATCTTTTACAATCAAAACATGGAAAACACAGAGTATCATGGCTAATCAAATGGACACGTTACACCCGGTGATCTCAAGCGATCACTGTTTAGTGGAACAGTGGAGTCCTTTTGCGGAAAAACAAACAAAGAAAGCACCATTTGTTCAAAGTGTGAATACACTTGATGACATGAGGGGAAACAGTGAAGCTGTGATGATACTATAGTGACGACTGAGTTCAGGAGCCTGGACAAACAGATAAATAAACACGCCGTGTACATCTAACACTGCCCACTTAAGAGTACTTTTAAACATGTCATGTTTGTCATGCCTCAAATGTCCTTTAACTTGAGAGGTCAGAGAAGAAGATTGGTTGCTACTAAGAAAAATACAGAAAACAAACTAACATCTTAAAACAGGTACTTTAATTTAGCATGGTTTGTGTAAGTTCAGGGCTGTCAAAGTTATAATTGTATTTAATGCATTTATTTTAAATATAATTTGATATTATTATTATTATTATTATAAGATTATCTTTTTTTTTATAGAAATATTGAGATGAATAATTTTTTTAATCCATTGACAGCCCTGGTTTTAACAGTAAGAAATAAGAACCTAATCTGCATATACAGTAGTTTAGTCGGGGCCAGAATTTTGCTGGTCTATTTTAAGGCGTTTTTAAAGTTTAACACTTAAAAAATAATTATACGGGGGAGGGTGGCGTTATATCTAAACATACAATTTGCTTAATTACAACATGTAAACTAATTATTTCATTTTAGAGGCATTTATATATATATTTATAATGTGCAAGATGTAACCTTGCTGTAATCAAGAGCTACCAAGCCTCCTTTGTAATAAAATCAATGGTGATCATCACTGTCTAATAATCCTCAGTAAATTATACTCTTATTTCAAAGTAAATTTTTTTACACTAATTGCTTAAGTTGAGAATCAGCAACACTTAAATTTACTCTAATTTGCACAGTTCAGTCTAAATGTTAATTAGTATCTAAGGTTAAGCAGGCCAATTACTACATGTTTGTATAATTTACTGCCTGTATTCATCATAGAACCAAGATTGAGGTCAGAGTTTAAATTTTTCAGGCCAAGACGAGCTTAAAATAGTGTCACTCTGGTGCAGTTCATTTGATAACAGCATTTTTTGTTTTGGTTATTTTTGTTCAGTGTCCCCTCATCAGTTCTTCTTAACATCAGCTGATCACTAGCACCATCACTTACGTTGTAAGAGCCCTTTGGAGCTGGAGTGTAATCACCAACCAGTCCGGCTAATGGAAGCTCATCATATAGCCGGGAGTTTAGTCACACTGGCCATATATCTGACAGATAATGGCTACTTGCCCTTAAAAGTCTGATCTACAACATAATCTGCACTATTGCAAAGTAGACTGTACATTATAGAGCATGGTGCTTTCAAAACCCCATTATGCTTTAATCCTTCACGCTCCTCTAATGTATTTCCCACAATGCTCCCCTCCCGGGGCATCTTCCAAAACAAACATGGCAGAAAAGCTTTTCTTTGAGCTGTTTTTTTCTTCTTCTTTTTTTCCAAGAAATTAGCAGTTCATCGGATCAATACAGTCTCAACTGACTCCTGGGATATGAGGGAGGCACTTCCCTGCTGAACTTTGGAACACAATACATGCCTTTTGGTGACTTATTTAATGTTGTTAATTACACAGTATGTTTACTTACGCAGGTATGCATTATTCGGTCTCCTATCCACAGTGAGAGAACAGGTTACATCATTTAGCAAGCTAGGCTGCCTCATCCAGAGAGAATAATGGCCAGCTTCCCCAAATGTCTGACTCAGACTAGGGAGGAAAAATAATGTCATCAACATGTAATAAAACACTGATCCATCCATCACATCCTGATAGTCATGATGACGGTTATTGAATTTTTTATGTTTTGTTTAAAAAGCTTTCCTCTTTTGAAATGTTTACATTTTCTGTTACACATCATCACCAGCATTTTCAAATGTATGAATTTGTTGTTTTCTTGTTAACCACAAATTGTTTGCCGACTGATGTAAAGTAGCCTGTCATGTAACTGTTTACCTAAAGTAGTCCAAAAATCAACTTTGTCTTTATATTTATTAAAGTCAAAATGATTTATATGGTTTATCACCAATATTTTTGTATTTTCTGATTGTATTGTATATCCTCTTTGTAGCAGCATGGAGCAGAATTATAACAATGACATACAAGAGGCTGAAGGGGGCCATCTAGAGGGCAACAGAGAAAACTGCAACTTTTGAACCCAATTCACCTTTTTTTTATCCCCCAAAATGTGCACTATAAGCCTTTATTGATCGACCTGGGAATGACATAGTGGCCAGCATGTTCTTTAGGGGAGAAGGTAAATCGATAATGGCTCTGTCTGGAAAGGGACCTCGGTATCGATCTTAAAGCAGCCCAGGACTAGACTTCAGCCACAGTGTGGGAGAGATACTGTGACTTGCCTTATGAAATCAGACACCCTCGACAGCTCGTTTGAAAATGGCCCAAAACTTGGCCTTGTTTGAGGCCCAGGTTGTTTGTAAAAATGACTATGTTTTCCTGCTGGAAACATCCCAGCTAGGGTTTGTGAGAGGACCACGGGCTTTGATGTCTTAATGGTCTTTTTCATCATTATTTCAGTGTCAGCTTGTTAACCCCAAAATGCAGTGCGATCAATGCACAGTGAGTAATTCTCCAAAGGGCAGCACTAAAGCCAGGTCACATTCAAACACATGGTCATAAATAGTCTCACTGACTGCAAATGCAATTGGCTGCTATTGGGGCTATATATCTAGCCTATATGTAGGGTCCTTCTGTACCAATTAAAAGAAAAAATCGTAATATTCAGGATGATGTTAAATAATATATTTCACCTTAATTAGCAAGTTGAGATGCAGTTCAAGGTGATTCTTACCCGCACAGAGTGCTGTTTCCATCCACAGGTGCGATTCTCAGAGTCAGAGTGAATTGTGTGCTCACCACCACAGAAATATTAAGACCATTCCCAACTGTGGCAAGGGGCTGATAAAGACACTATAGAAGACGTAGATATCTGTTATTTAACATTTATTTAATATAAGCCATTTTGACAGTTCAAGCAGGCTCCACAGGTTAGTATGGGGAATTACATAAAGGTTTATATTGCTCACAAAACACAACCTGTATTGTAAATGGAACAAATTTATTTATATTTCTGTCACTTTCTTTTTGGTACAAAAATGCTTGAAACACTCATAAGTCACAATCAAGACAATTAAACAACTTTGAAGTACCTTATAACAGTAATCTGAGGTGTAGTAAACACTAATGTTGTATGGAAGTTCATTATGGAATATTAGCAATGCCTCATCCATTTTCAGCTTGTAAACTAAAAAAAAAGGACAGAGGCACTGAGATTGCAGTATCCTAACAATACAATGAATACATTTATTTCATCAATACACATTTTAAACAACTTGAATATCATAATTATGACCTACCTGTATGACGTCTTTCACACATCCCTGCTGAGAGAAGAGTAAAAAAGAGAACATTCAAGATATTGATTATCTTCATTGTCGAATCCAAATCTGCTGTATTTCTTTTTCTTCTTTTTGTGCAAATGAAAATAAAAGGAAGCTCAAAGATCACTGTACGTGTGATTACAGTGATCTTTGAGATGTGTTGGAGTTTTATTACCAGAAGGCACAACAAGATTGACGGAAGATATAAGGTTAAAGGGATAGTTCACCCAAAAATGAAAATACTGTCATTAATTACTCATCATCATGTCATTCCAAACCCGTAAGACTTTCGTTGATCTTTGGAACACAAATGAAGAAATGTTTGATGAAAAAGATTTCTGTCCCTCCATAGACGCAACTACCACTTTGATGCTTCGAAAAGTTAATAAACAGATCGTAAAACTAATCCATATGAATTGAGCGATTTAGTCCAAATTTTCTTTAGAGACTCAATCGCTTTATATGATGAACAGATTTTATTTAGGATTTTATTCACATATAAACACTGATCAGCGAACACAAACAAAAGCTCAAACGAACCTTCTTGACGCACGAGAACAAACCTCATTGGTTCTTGCGGAAGCTCAAACATGCTGCGTAACACACGAGAATGAACCACATTGGTTCCTGCAGAAGCTCAAACGTTCTGATTAACACACGAGAATGAACCTTACTGGTTCCTGTGGAAGCTCAAACAAGCTAATTAACACACGAGAATGAACCTCATTGGTTCTTGCGGAAGCTCAAACTGGAGAATGAACCTCATTGGTTCTTGCGGAAGCTCAAACACAAGAATGAACCTCATTGGTTCTTGCGGAAGCTCAAACTGGAGAATGAACCTCATTGGTTCTTGCGGAAGCTCAAACTGGAGAATGAACCTCATTGGTTCTTGCGGAAGCTCAAACACGAGAATGAACCTCATTGGTTCTTGCGGAAGCTCAAACTGGAGAATGAACCTCATTGGTTCTTGCGGAAGCTCAAACTGGAGAATGAACCTCATTGGTTCTTGCGGAAGCTCAAACTGGAGAATGAACCTCATTGGTTATCGCACGTCAAGCGAACATGCTTTTACCACAACTGATGTGTGAGTTGATATTTACATGTGAATAAAAGGCTAAATTAAATCTGTTCATCATATAAAGTAGGGCTGCCGCTGCACGATTAATCGCAATTTACATGAAATGGCACTTAAAGGGTTAGTTCACCCAAAAATGAAAATTATGTCATTAATGACTCACCCTCATGTCGTTCCAAGCCCGTAAGACCTCCGTTCATCTTCGGAACACAGTTTAAGATATTTTAGATTTAGTCCGAGAGCTTTCTGTCCCTCCATTGAAAATGTATACACCGTATACATTGTCCAGAAAGGAAATAAAGACATCATCAAAGTAGTCCATGTGACATCAGTGGGTTAGTTAGAATGTTTTGAAGCATCGAAAATACATTTTGGTCCAAAAATAACAAAAACTACGACTTTATTCAGCATTGTATTCTCTTCCGGTTCTGTTGTCAATCCGTGTTCACGGGTCCGCAGTGACGCTGATGACGTAAGACGCTGCTGACGTGTATCTGGTGCGTCCGTGTATTCGGGTTCAAGTAAATATGGCTGGGCAAAAAAATGCAAGTCTTCCTCTGTGTCGAAATCCTTAGACATGTTTGCAAAGATTGTTTTGTTTACAGTGTGCGTCTCCCTCAGACTGTAAACGAAGCTTGGGCGCACCAGATAACACGTCAGTAGCGTCTTACGTCACCAGCATCACTGAACGCGGCTTGACAACAGAACCGGAAGACAATACAATGCTGAATAAAGTCGTAGTTTTTGTTATTTTTGGACCAAAATGTATTTTCGATGCTTCAAAACATTCTAACTAACCCACTGATGTCACATGGACTACTTTGATGATGTCTTTATTTCCTTTCTGGACAATGTATACGGTGTATACATTTTCAATGGAGGGACAGAAAGCTCTCGGACTAAATCTAAAATATCTTAAACTGTGTTCCCGAAGATGAACGGAGGTTTTACGGGCTTGGAACGACATGAGGGTGAGTCATTAATGACATAATTTTCATTTTTGGGTGAACTAACCCTTTAAACCGATTTGGCTTATCACGATTATGAAATCGCAAAAGCTGCGATTATTTTTTAATGCGCATCTTATCATTGATGTACGGCTCTGTAAACGCGGCTCCACCTGAAATCACTGTGAGTTTGAGTCACTTATAACGTGCATTTGAAAAAGCAATACGCGTCAAACATCTTTCCAAACATGAGAAGCATTTATGAACCTCTTGTCCAACAAAAGACTAATTTTAAAGGGGTGGTATAATGCCCTTTTCACAAGATGTAAAATAAGTCTCTGGTGTATTTTTTTTATAGCATGTTAAAATTGTCACTTTTTGAGGGTGAGCAAAAACGCTCCGTTTTTGTGTGTGTCCTTTTAAATGCAAATGAGCTGCTACTCCCAGCACAGAGGTGCTTCAAGAGCTTGTGTGTCAGCAGCTCCGATTACCTCACACAGACACGCACTGAAAATTTCAAAGACTTTTAGCCTTTTATGTTCAAATGAGTTATTTGAAATGAGCTAAATGAATTATGAGTTTTGTTTTTAATGTTTTATGAGTCAGACAAACATGGAGAGACTCAAGAAGAAGTGACAACATGTAGAATGCAACAGGATTTCTGAATGGTTAATGATGTATTTATGTAGCTGATGTGGAGTTGACTATCTTCTAGTCATTGATTAGCATATTCTGTCATGATAATCTATAAATGTGTTCCCGGGGGCGGGGTTTATGTACATTTTATGGTTTGTGATGTCACTAACCCAGGAGGAAGCTTGTGTAGTCCCTACCAGCCGTTTGTTGTAGTCCTTAAAAAGTGATTTCTGTAAAAGAAAATATCTCCCATTGCTATTGCTTTGAACTTTGAGCGTCAAAACTTTGCAGATGTTGTTTATGCTCAAACAGCAACATCACACACTAACTAAAGTTAATAAACTGAAATCATAATCAACCACCCCTTTAATAAAATGCTTTTACTCCAAACTCACTTCATAATGACAGTTGAGCATCCTTCTGTGAGATGATGGCTTCTTACACAGAATAAGGCAGTTGTGTTTATTCAGCTACACTACAGTGAAAGTATGATGCCCATAGGGATTTCCTGGAATGACGTGCGTTATAGGCTACTTCTGCGGAGGGGCATTTCTGGCTTTCAGATGGAGCAGAATTTACTACTTATCAGCCGTGCCAAATAATCTCAGCCTTTGCCAAATCGCGTGCGGTTTCATTTAGATTAATCGTGCAGCCCTAATATAGCAATCGTGTCTCTTCAGAAAATTGGGACTAAACCGATCAATGCATATGTATTAGTTTTACGATCTCTTAATGAACTTTTTGAAGCGCAAAGTGGTAATTTACTTGCGTAACGTCTGCCAATGTAGAGACAGACAGACACATCTTTCAGATTTCATCAAAAGGATCTTCTTTTGTGCTCCGAGGATCAACGATAGTCTTACAGGTTTGGAATGACATGAGACGGTGAGTAATAACAGAATTTTCATTTTTGGGTGAACTAACGTTATCCCTTTAATTGACTAACGTTAGTCGACTAGGCCGTCTTAAGATAATATGCATCTTATCCCAAGCCTAGGAGCTCCGTTGCTAATTCCAAAACGTCATTTTAGAGCTAGTAACAGACAGAGCCATATAGACATAGAGTTGCGAACGTTTTTTTCTAACTTATATGGCTCTGGTAACAGAGAGAGATAGAGAGTGTGTGAGTGTAAGCGTGTGTGAATTATACCTCAGTCTGTGCGTCTCTCACTAGCGTCTACTAATATAGCGAAACCAACTTTACGTTTATCTGCACCTCGCTAGTGAAAAACGTAATTTTGTGGCAATTTTCCCCCCGTTTTTACTCTCCATCGGTCAGTGTCGTTGTGGGTTTATGTGGGGGAGCTGTAAAGATTCAAGAAAGACCAAATAACTGAAATCATTTGGCGAAGTGATATGGAACGCGGTCGAGAGACCTGCCTGGAACTACTTTAGCCGTGAGTTTCGTCAACCAATCAGAATCAAGCATTCAACACTGCTAAAAACTGCATGCATATGTGTGCGGAATCTGAGGATGATACTTTATTCATAAAAGGCACGAATAATGATCAGCATCCAAAATATGTTATAACTTATAAGTGTATTTAAGTAGAAAAGAGAGGAACAGAAATGATCTTCATTAAAATAACATTATCTTATCTTAGGGGAAAAGAGAACTCATGTTTGTACTCTCTGTCATGTTAATTATTCCGTTTTTCTGTGTTTTTATTTTATTAAGGTGTGTGTGAGACCCTTGATGAATCTTTTCACTTAACAGGGATAATTTCCGGTTGTGCCAAATTCATATCTTTTTAGGCATGAACAGCAGTCGTTACAAATAATACGAAATGCCCATTTTAACAAATGAAATGGCTTGCATTTTCCCGAACATATGCTTGATGCTAGAATCCCTTTTTTAACCGTTTTTGTCGTCTGGAGGCAGGTAGGATCCTGCTGTTATTATTTGTTCATGGTGTAATTGTATTCTATTCTCTCACTGTCTGGAATTGCAAACGCCTTTCTGTTTTCCCCATAGACTGTAAAAAAAAGATTTTTCACACTGATCTTTTGTTCAGGCTTCTGCCAGGGCAGCAGCAACAGGGCCCCTACTTTAATATTAAATAGTGCGTGCTGACGTAACCTGGTAACCTTTCAAGAGCGTCCAATACGCAACTTAGTTAATATTCATAAGACGTCCCTTCACCGTAGTAGGATTCGTACATTCGTGCTCAAGCTACAGGTTGAAATCATAGAAAGAGGTTGAAATCCAGCTCTGCATGCATGTGCGCGAGACCATAGCAGCACTACACGCACAGCACCTTCAACATGGTAAGAGAAAACATATATTTAAAAAAAAAAGTTTTTTATTCTTATTATTCCATGTGGATTAACAACCACTTTAGTGTCTTTGTACATAAGTCAACTTTGCAATTAAATGCATAGCATTGCCACAAACGAGATGCTTCAAATAAAACTGGAATGCGCTGGACAGGTATCGTGCTATTTTTATATTAACACAGTCATTTTTAAAATCTGACGTTTTATTTCGTATTATTCGAACAGTTTTTTTAGACACAATCAAGTGTTTTCGTGTTTTGCCATATACAATTGTTCATGTATATATATATATATATATATTTAAAAAACACATAGCATAGTGCTCAAGTTACCATTAACATATCAAGGTCTGTTATTGATTTGATAGAACTGCCATGGCTTTACTTCGCCTTCTTTGTTGTGGCGTGTCTGTTCGTGCAGCAGCATTAGCTCAGCTGATTACACTGTTGCTAAGAGACCTGTTGATGTCAGTCTGCTTTATCAGTGTTGGAGCTTCATCATGACTGACATGTGTTTGCACAGGCTCTCTGACGCAATTCACTGATGGTTCATTCAGGGATTATAGTGTGTGGATAGTACAAAAGAAAATGCTGATACAAATCAACTTAATTTCCCTTTCATTCAATGAAAAGTCCACAAAATGTATCACAAAGCATATAGAGAAAATGCAGAAAAGCTACATTTTCAAGTCAGTTACCTTTTTATAAATGCACATTTCAATATATTGTAATAATGTCTTCTTTTAACAGACCTGTGTTTAAAGCTCATGTGATCTTTACTTAAAGGGGAAAGGGCGCGAAGGGTTAATTTGCTTAGGAATTTCATTGCCCCGACCACAGTCATATGGTGGAAGCTCCTAGAATTGAAAATGCAAGTCATCATTGTTTCCATATGGGGCTCACAACAACCAATCACAGTGCTTTTTTCTGAAACATCCCCCTCGGAATGGTTGCTTAAGAGTGTGTGCAAAACTGTTCAAATGATATTTGTTCTATTAACAAATAATGATTATATCTTAGCATGTAAAACATTTACAATTAAATACAGTACTATTTGATTTTTATAAATAATTTTTGTTTAGTTATATTATTATGCAGGTGCACACACACACACTCCTGGAAATGGCAAAAGGCAAAATATGTAGTGGTCTTTTAATGGTCTTAACCATTTTAATCACAAATCATTAGTCAGGACATTAGCAATTGCAAAAATAACTGTAGATAAAGTAACTTACCATGGGATATCCTTTCCATTTGTTTTCTTTAAATATTTAAGCCGTGTGGGTAAACTTGCAGACTGCTGTTTACAGGAAGAAGAGTCAGTGTTGTTCCACTCAATGTTAATGGCTTCAAACAGTTCATGAGTAGCCTAGTTGAAAAAGGTCTCCCAGTTAGTTTGAGTTTAATGTGAGATCAAATATTCACTATAGGGTTCAAATCTGGACTCTGACCAAAGCCAAAACATGATCCTGATGAACTTGTTCTCAAGCTACTTCTTGGTTGTCTTTGTAATTTGGACAGGAGCATTGTCTTGCTGAAAAAGAACATTGATCATTCCTCTTTAGAAAACAACTTTTCAGTTGTGGGAAGCAAGCCATTCTGTAATATTCTCCTGTTACACCAAAGCATTAAATGACTTTTGACAGTGAAGTAGCTCACCAATCCCAGTAGCCAAAAGGCTCCCTACACAATGGCACTCTTCCTACATGCTTATCTGTGGTAGAGATTTTCGAGGACATCGCTCTGAAGCATCACCATGCAACTTGTTTCGTTGTAATTCATCACTAGTACACACTCACACACATATTCCCAAATTCTGCCAAAAACATCATTCTGTCTTTTATGGTTTTCTGAGACATCAATGTTTTTTTTTTTAAGTAGTGCATTTTCTTCTATTTTGCTAATTTCCTGACCAATAATTTGTGATTAAGACAATTAAAACCTTATTGTTCAGCCATTTTTGGCTTGAACAATTTGCCCAGGAGTGTATATAAACATCTTACTCACAGAGATGTGACACGCTTTGTAACATTCATTCTTATGAACTTCACTTTTAGATATTTTCTAACCAGAACTGTTTTAAACACTAAGGCTGGGAAGATTCAGACTCTTACCATGGAGGAGAGGGAGCACATCCTGCCCATGATGAGGAATGCTCAGTGGGTGGAGGTGGTGGGGAGAGATGCCATTTACAAAGAGTTCCTCTTCAAAGACTTCAATCAGGTAATAGTCTCTCTTGGCAGTTTTACATAGTTTAAGGCAATACAACTATTTAGAGTGACAAACTTTACAACACATATAGCCTACCCTATGACATGCACTTTTCCCTTTAGGCTTTTGGGTTCATGTCCAGAGTAGCACTACAGGCTGAGAAAATGGATCATCATCCCGAATGGTTTAATGTGTATAACAAGGTAAATTGATAGGCCCATCATCAGTAAGGCTAGCATGGTCATCGCTGTGATTGCAATAATGCCTAAATAAGGAATTAGAAATTGTATTGTAATAATATGTAGGCTAATGATTAATCATTAATAAGACCATGAATGTGTGTGAAGAACATAAATGCGGCCAATTTTGATTTCATGCCCTGTCTGCCTGTTTTATCTCTGGTAGGTTCAAATCACCCTCAGTACTCATGAATGTGGAGGAATCTCGCAGCGTGACATCACCCTCGCAACCTTCATAGATCAGGCCTCTGTCTATTGAATGGATCCTCTCTCTTGACAGCTTGCCAGTCAACCTCTCTAGCCTGTAAAACTGGATCAGAAATATTGTAAATCTTCATGTATCACAGTTATCACCATATAAGTTTTGACTGTGTGTTGTCTGCCTGTTACACTTGATCTTTTCCCGATAAGTATTAATAGTACATTCAAGACTAATTTCATCTTTTAAATCATTTCACTTTCACAGTACATGAATGATCAGAGAATTACTAGAACACCACAGAGACCGGTGAAACACTATTACATTACTGTATTCTATGGCTTATAGTATTTTTTTTTTTTAACTAAATGTATGGTGCCTTAATTTGCATTTGATCCAATGATGAAATGGTTAGTGCCTCAATGAATTAGAATAAATTGAATGTTTTCAACTTTGGCATGTGAAATCAATGTATTCATTTGCTTCCCATTTAATCAATGATGGACCCCAAAAGCATTTTTGGTTTTAAAAATCGTACTGCTTTTCAGCATTCGAGTTTTAAAAACTCATTTCAAGTCTGTGTTATTTTTCATTCAGTAGTAGTGTTGCATCTTGCACTTTAATACAGGCATTCTGTGTGATCGACAAATGCGGTTTTGTTTTAAAAAAAAAAACAAGGATTAGAAATAAGTTATGTTTTGTAACCTTAGAATGCATAAACCAAAAAACCTACATAAAGGGTTCAAAATGGGCCATATTGGAATTAATAGTTTTCTTCAAATAATAGGTGTCCTATTAATGAAGTAATTAAAATGATTGACGATACACAAATGTTTTTAAATTTCCTTGCATATATACACATTACAAAAGATGAAATTTGTTATTTTTAAAATGCAGTTGTACTTTTTTTTAAACTACTTCCAGTAGCCTTGCTCTACTGCATCTGAAATCGCATACCGTCTGAGAAGGTTCTACTTTTGATGAACTTCATGACTGTTAAAGTATGCATGCAATTAGTATAAATAATATATATATTTATTTTTTTAAGTAATCTATAAAGTCCATAAAGAAAGTAAATATAATCATTGACAAATTTTGAACAGAAATACTGAAGGTTAAAAATACGGGTCAATTTGACCCCTTTATCCATTCTAGGGTTAAAGTTTAATTTTTAACTTGAGCGCAGTGTTTTAGAACGTGAGACACGATTGCATTGGTCAAACATCAGTCATGTGCATGTTTGCATAAATGAACAATGGAAAAGTATCAATGAAATTTCAAAAACACGAGATTGAGGGAAGTGGACCCAATCAGACATGTCATTCTGTAAAACAGTGAAAAGTAAATATATTATGCGACCAGAATATTCATATTTCTTTTAGGACCATGTTTATTGATTTATATTAGGAACAAGAAAACATTACAGGACAAATTTGAAACGAATTGCATGATGTGGTAAAGGCCTAGTCCCTGAGGCATATTTAGCTACTATGTTAACCTAATAGCCCACACCCTGATGACTGTGAAAGGCATTTAGGTGAATGCTGTTAGTTTTGTGCTTCATACAACCATAACCATAGAGGTCATGTAATGCTTCAAATATTCAGATCAAGGTGCCTCAGTTTCAGTAGTTACAGTAATTACAGATTATTGCATAATGACATTAAAATGCTTAATTTAGGCAAGAAGGGTAACTTTTTGAAGACAAAAATCCACATCTATGTCTTAGCCTAAGGCATGTTACAGTTCTTGAGAATACACTGTACTACAGTGGTATCATAGAAAAAAAACTATCCCGCCTCCTACTCGAGTCCCCAAAAGAGGTTTAAAAAAGTACATGGAAATTACTGAATTAAAAAAAAAACCCATTGAAATATGAGACATTATATTAGTGATTTAAAATATTAAAAGAAACACACAGTGGTCACAAATATTATAAATGCTTATGGGATTATATAACTGACAAGATCTGATGTGATGTTTCCATGGTACCATGTCATCACTTCCTCATATCACTGACTTCATGCACAAATTAATTTCCCTTGTTGTTCCAGGGCTTAGCTGTCATTCAATTGAGTTAAGCTGGAACAAAGAAACCAAACAAATACAACACACAAATATAACTCAAAGGAAAACTCATGAATCAATTGGAACGACAGCTGAAAACCTTCAAACCATACTGTGAAAAACTTTTGAGACTCTGAAAACCATAACCTGGAGCATGGCATTGACTTGTGATAAAAATGTCCACTTAGGTGACATTTCTCAGAATTTAGACAAAAGGGAAACGATCAATGATTAAGTTTACAATTATTTGAAATAGATTTGAGGTAGATAGAGTGAAATGTGGTCATTAAAAACCCATATGATGGGAATTTCAACCAGGTAATATTGACTACACAACATGGTCAATGGATTTGTTACATTTTGCCCTGATATCAGGTAATTTAAAAACAGTGAGATATCTTTTCAATAAGATGGATGTTTTACGACTGGACTAGCAAATGTCTACTAGATATGGGGAATTTCAAATAAATAAAACTAAACATTTGTAATATAGGTTCACCTGAGCAGCCCTACCATTCTAAAATGGTCTGTTATGTTTTCAAGTTTCTATTGGGAATATTTAAAAAAAAACTAACAGTGTGGTTTTTCCATGTTGATCTGATTATGGATTTTATCCTAACCTGCATTATTTAACTCTCAGAAATTGTCCAAACTGTTTGTCAATAACCAGATGTTAAAACATGGTGACAACATTATTCCCTGGTATCCTGAGGTTTAAGTGTCAGAAAACACTTCCAAAAATAACAGTGGGAGTGTGATCAAATACATATGGTGTGCACCGGTCATAAAAATAAGAAATGAAAGAAGTAAATCTGCACTCACTACAGATATCCCAGACCCTTCACAGATTCACATAGATACTTGTGCAGCTGTCTCCATAGTCTTACAGACAGGATACCGTTGCTCCTCAGTCACGAATCCCAAAATATCAGGTGACTATGGCTTATACATAAAATCGTTAGTTGTAAATAGACGACTGAATGAAGTAAATGAATGATTAGATGATTGTGGTGAGCATCCCTTCGGCCAGCTAAGGGTGGAGACCCTGGCAGTTAATCTCAGTGCACTTTGGAGTTGCCATTCATGTGGTTCTTATGGTTTTTGTGGGGCTTGTTCTGTATCTTGGGCACCTCAGTGCTATAGAGGCAGTCCAAAAAGCCCTGTGAGACCTCAGTCACCATCGATCGGTCAGGAATGGACTGGGCCATGCCATAGATGGCTCCCTACGACATAAAAGAGGAGAGTTTACAATGGTAATTTCATTGTGGTTTATTAGATGAAATTATACGTGTACAACTTAACTGAAGTGGACTTATTGAAGTGACCATTTTGCCAGAAAATATATAGTATATAAAGTACTCGAAATGTGAAGTTTGCACTTTTGATTGGACAAAAATCTATTTAAATATATCTCTTAAAGGTGAATTTGGTCAACATCTAGGAGTGCAACAGAATAGGAATTATGGATCAGAAGTTTGAGGTCAGTAAGATTTTTTTGTTTTTGTGAAAGAAATTAATACTTTTATTTAGCAAGGATGCATTAAACTAACTAAACTAAACTTTTGATATTTCAATTCATCAAAGAATCCTGAAAAATGTATCAAGGTTTTAACACATTTTTCAACATTGATAATACTAAGAAATGTTTCTTGAGCACCAAATCAGCATATTAGAATGATTTCTGAAGGATCATGTGACACTGAAGACTGGAGTAATGGCTGCTGGAAATTCAGCTTTGCCATCACAGGAATAACATACATTTTAAAATATGTTAAAGTATAAAACAGTTATTTTAAATCATTATAATATTTCGCAATACTACCGTATTTACTGTATTTTTGCAGCCCTGGTGAGAATACTGTTAAGAGACTTTTTTCAAAAACATTACAAAATTTTACTGACCCCAAACTTTAAAACAATATTGTAGATCGACTCAAAGTTGTACGATTTTGACCTTTTATTGTTAAGCCAAACTTATGAGTAAAATTGTAAGTGAATGGTTTGTCTAATAAAAAGGAAACTCACCATTCCCGTGGTCTTCTCTTTAGGATTCTTCATGATGATGGCTACTTCTCTCTTCACATCACTGACGAACTGCTCTGCTACACTAGGCTGTGTGTGTAGCATTGTGACACAAATATGAATGCTGAAAGGGAACAACGAAAGATGTATGAACAATGATCTAAGAAACAACTTTTCTGACCAGTACCTAAAACGTAAAGTAAATATGGTGAAAATGTATAAACGTTTATTTTTTTGTTGCATTATTTAATTGTGGCATTGAATTATGACTAACTTTCATTCTGTTTCAGGGACAGTACATTAATTTTCATAACTTGCACAAGTAACACATTTCTCTTTTTTTAACCATACCTAGATGGGAACTGCAGAGAGTTGAGATTCCAGCCCTTTGAAGTCAGTGCATTAGATAAGCGAAATATATCAAAATCATCGGAGCCTAATGCCACCACAGACACCTCTGGATCCCCGAATACAAACAGCCCATCTATTTTACGGATTCTGTGGGAAGAGAGTTTTTTGAGAAGTTGTTTCAGCACACAATGTCTTTCCTGGCATGTAAATGTTACCTGCCATGCAAATTTATTTGGCACAGTTGATATACATTCAAAGAAAACACTTCGCCTGTGTCTCATTTACTATTATGTGTTATATTATAAATGACATTATACTGACCCTGCTTTGATTTTGCGGGCAGTCCCAATGATTTTCTTGGTGGCCTCAACGTATCCGTTCTCACCCATGTGCATCATAGTAGCCCAACAGGCTGCAATTATGCCTCCAGGCCGAGACCCAGCCATGGATGGAGACGCGTAAATTCCTCCCTGCCAATCTGGCGCTACAAAATACTGGTAGTGGCGATATTTCCTTTCACTGTAGAGCACCACTGAGGAGCCTTTGGGAGCATAACCATACTGTGGAGACACAATGATTAAAAATAAAAATAATAATAATAATTATTATTATTAAGTAGACTGCATTTTTACTGTAATTTTCATTGCAATTACATTTGGACAGATTACTCTCAACAGATTAGTAAAAATATCAGTTGTGAAATTTTTTCCTTTTTGTTTTTAAATCCCAGAATAAGGGTCAGGAGTAGCTCATTTGCATAATTGTTTTACTCATTAAAATAATCAAATGTACCTCTTTTTCAAATACACTACCACTTAAAAGTTTGGGCTTGGTAAGACTTTTTAATGCTGCATTTATTTGATCAAAAAAAAAAAAAGTAGAAACCGTAGTGTTGTAAAATATAATTACAGTATTTATATGCAATTTTCAGCGTCATTACTCCAGTTTTCAGTGTCACATGATCCTTCAGAAATCATTCTAATGAGCTGATTTGGTGCTCATAAAACATTTCTTATAACTATCATTATCGTGGTGCTTAATATTTATGTGAAAATTGTGATGCATTTTTAAAGATTCAGGAGTTTCTGTCACTTTTGATCAATTTAATGCATCCTTGCTGAATGTATTAATTTCTTTCACAAAAAAAAAAAAAAAAAAAAAAAAAAAAAAAAACTTTATCGACCACAAACTTTTGAACAGTAGTGTATTTTTATTTATTAATTTATCTCACTATCAAGTTCTCACCTTATGTGTATCAGCTGAGATACTGGTCACACCTTTGACCCGGAAATCAAAGGGATCAAGTTTGAAACCCGCTTTTTCCATAAATACTATCAGGAACCCACCCAAGCATGCATCCACATGGAATGGGATGTTGTATTTTACAGCAAGCTAAAAGAAAAAAAAAAAGAGTTATAGAATATATTTTAGATTAATTTATACAATGATACAAAAGCACTGGATTACATGTCCATTTTAATAAGCAAATATTACCGTTGCCACTTCTGCTACAGAGTCCATTATTCCATGCGGGAACTGAGGAGTTGAACACACCAGCATTGCTGTGTTTCTAGAGATGGCCCTCTTCATGGCCTATGGTCAAAAAAAGTAGTCGTTAAAGTTAGATGGATGTTAATATCCACAAAAACACTGAATGAATTAGAAATGTACCCAATTACTGTGAACAAACCAAACAGCAGTACCTTCACATCAACTTTCATGGTCTTCTTGTCCAGAGGTACGTGAATGAGCTTCATCCCAAAGTAATGTGCAGCTTTGTCAAACGCAGCATGGACGCTCACGGGAGCAATGCTACAGCATAGACAAAACAAATAATATAAATCAATTTTTACAGAGGATTTGAAGTTGCACTGATTAAAAAAAAAAATTTCTTCAAGTAAAATAAAACAGTAAATAGAAAAATATATAGTGTACAGTGTTGGTTGCCAACCACTGTTTATTGACCTAAGCAGAAAGAGAGCATTATAACTGTGTGATGGATTTTTTTAATGAATAAAATAGTAAACTGTATATTAAACTAGCCATGTTTCTAACAACTAACCTTACTTCCCTTTTAGGCCTCCTAACAGGCTAACAATTCTAACACAATGTACTAAAACGTTCTGTCCTGTGTTTTTGAATGTTGTATGTTGTGTTGCCATACCCCTTTAACTCTGGTTGTGCGAGTGTATAAATAACAAATATGGGAAATGAAAGTAGACAGAGGTCTAGTTTAATAATTTGTGATCATGAAGTAATCACAGAAACAGAGTTTGTTTTACCTGGTAACAGAAGGGTTTGCATATGAAAACCAATCAAATTGTGGGGAAATTATGTAATGTTTCATGTCATTTTTGCCATACCTCCTTATTCTATAAAAACTTGTATTCGTGTAAACTGGTGGGATTCTCAATGGAATTTGTCTGAGATCCCCCAGCCATGCGACGGAAATGTCGCATCTCCCTCCCGGCCGTGATTAAAGCATTTAGAGGACATTTGAAGTCTGAAGTCTGTCTGTTTCGCACTGCTGCACAGCAGGTAAGTTTAGGGAAGCAAGTCAGTTAGGAGACCCAGGTATACTAAACGTCGTGGACGTTAGGGGACGTCGATTTGTAGACAAGACCCAGCTAGACTTAGGAAAAGGCAGAACTAAAGGGACATGATTTGGAAACGAGACCCAGGTACGTAGTTAGGTTTAGGGAAATATCTACAACAACTGCAAAGGCTGGATTTCTTTTACTAGACCGAGACAGTACATACATCTCTGGGTGTTTGATGCCACGTTCATGAGCCATGTCTCTGTATGCCTTGCATGCCATCAGGATGCTTTCTGTTCCACCTGAGGTAACCTTTCATGATAGGAACACACAAAACAAATAATTCAATTTTAGTGAACAGTCTTCTAATGAAAAACGATGGACTGACAAACCTATTCTGTTGCTGTGTGAATGTAGCCCATGTATGAGACCCTCATAGCATTCTACAGATTTGGTTAAGGTGACATTCCCCACATTTAGCTATTTTCTTAAGTGCGAACAACTGTATTAATATGGAATTATTTGGAACTTCACACAACCACATTATTCCATCAGGGAAGATAGTGAGAAGAACTCACTGTGCCACAGGAATCTGGCCCTCCATTAAATAGAGCGCACGCCATCCGCACCACTTCTGCCTCCATCTTCCTAACCCCGGGGAACAGGTCTGGGTGGAGGGGGTTTGTCCAGGCAAAGTCACCATACACCTGCAAATCAGAGGAACACAAAATCCATGATTTATTTCTCGTTTCACAATGCCTTTGCTAGATACAAAAGTAAAGTGAACATCTAAACAAGTGTTTCCCAACCTTGTTTGTCACATGTATCACTACAACCCCATCAAGTAGCACTTCATCTACACCAAATCAAAAATGTCCCATTAACTCTTACACTACCATTTGGGGTCAGGGACATTAAATTATTTAAAAGTGACAGTAAAATTACAAATAAATGCTGTTCTTTTGAACTTTCTATTTGTCAAAGAATCTTGAAAAGAAACGCATCACCCTAATATCCACAAAATATTAAGGAGCACAACAGGTTTGAGCATTGATAATTATCCAAAGCACTAAATCAGCATATTAGAATGATTTCTGAAGGATCATGTGACACTGAAGACTGGAGTAATGATGCTGAAAATTCAGTTTTGACGTCACAGAAATAAATTACAATTTAAAATAGAAAACTGTTTGTAATAATATTACACAATATTGCAGTTTTAACTATATTTTCCATCAAACCAAGTGTAGCCTTGGTGAGCATAAGACTTTCAAAAACAATTTTTTTTAAATCTTAACTTTTAAATGGAAGTGCATATTAAATTAAATTAGATATTATACTGGATGCAATTTATCACATTTAATAGTTACGCTATTATTTTTATTTTTATTATTCATTATTATTACACTAAAAGCAAATCAATACTTTGGGTGAAACAAAGACATCAGATAGCACAAATATTCTGCATGTGATCCACAAAAAAGTATAAAATCCTTGCACACATTTTCCTTGAGAATGAGCTGAATCATGAGACTAATCTTTTTTTCTTTTTTTTTTTGTCCAGTTTTACAGGTTAAAGCAAAATCAAAAACAACCCCTTGAACACACATACCCCTGTTTGGGATTTATTGATCTAAATGATTTAAAGGCCATTATACCTTCACCAGGAGATCTGTGAGCTTCTCATCCCCCCAGTAGACTGCACCTGACACTTTGCCTTTCGCCCAGTCTACCTCACCTGAAATCAGAAGTATATAAAAAAATTGATGACAGAACAAAAGTGGGACACTAACTTGTAATATAAACCAGCTGCAATGCATTATATCCTAGTAAATAAACTTGCTTGCAAAGAAACTGCACCCACACTACTGCAGGGCAAATTCAGTCTGAGAACATCTAGCTGACACTTTAAGAGTTTCTGATTTATCTTTGAAGCCTTTGGGCTCTCCATCATTATAACAGATGGGAGTTGGGACAGGCTGAAGGTGACTCACTCAGTGTCTCATATTCCCTGATCTTGTCAAGGAGCTGTTTGTGGGTGAGGCCTTGTGCTGGCAGGTGTTTGGTGTAGCTCATGCCTTCCTTCAGGGTGCACAGACTCACTGACATGTCATCCAATGCTTTGTTGAGCTGAGTCTGAATCTGATGAGGGAAAGATTAGGGAGAAAACAAAAAGTGTCAAACAATCCTCTGAATATTTAATTAAAACCAGAAATATAGTGGACAGTATTTAAAATATTTACCTTCAACAAAAAACATCAAGGTGTAAACAGAGTATTTTACATAAAAAAAAAATAATATATATATATATATAAACTATTTAATTGCAAAATGTAATTATTATAATTATTAACAACTATTATTTTATTAAATAATCTACAGTTCTTGAAACTTACGGAATCACAAAAATAATTAATTTAATAATATATATCAAAAGTCACAAACTGTTCAAACAAATAAAGTTAGGGAAAAAAAGGTTAAGAACCACTGTCTAAGGGGCGTTTAGGTTGTAATAATTTGTAATGTTAAGCTGATTAGTTGCATCTCAATAAATATCATAAAGAAGAAAAAGCAGACTCAAATCAAAATCAACCTGCAGTCGGTTCTGACTGGAACCAGACATATTACAATGTATTCAGGTTTATGGCCTAAAGTAAACCCTGGTATAGTCACAGGATCATATTATGAAAGTGTGATAAAAGCTTTATTTCCACTTAGGCATTGCAATGGTGACTTAATCATCCATCAGTGAGTCAGAAAGAGAAGTCTGAAGGAAGAAAGGGAACTATAAAACCACTAGATGCTTACTGTTGCTCCGACAAATGGGATTTTTCTGATGATTTTAAAGAATTGCTTCTTTACTCTTGACGTCAGGCCTAGAAAACACGAACAATGAGCAAATTGTGGTGAAGATGTGACATGAAATGAGTCCACAGAGACATTTTTTCAAATCGGAGTTGCTTTACAAGATTCCAGCCTGTCAATGCAAGAGACTTTCTAAACGATCTCTTATTTTAGACGTAGAGTCAATAGAAGTTTGGCATGTAAAATTAAACAAATGAGAAAAGTGTAAACGTTTTTTTTTTCTCAGCTTCCTCAGAACCCATTGTTTCTGGTTGATGACACAATGAATTAAAAAAACAACTGCCACAGATTTTGTTATTTTCAAGTGGCCTTGACATTTTGCAACTTTGTTTTAAGACTTCCTGACTCAGATGAATAGCAAAGAGGGACAACATGATTATTTACCTACGATTAGCTTGCAACATAATGATGTTTCAGATTGTTTCACAGTAACATAAAACTGTAGCTTATGACTATGAAAAGACTGTTGATAAATCAACCAATATATGCACTGACTATTAACCATATTAGAAAAAATATTTGAAAAATGAAAACACAACCAAAATTCATTGCATTTCATTGTTGTTGTTTTTCTCTTCTTTATTGACTCTTGGAAAGACACCTTCCAGATCCTGTACACATTGCCATTCAAAAGTTTGAAGTCAGGAAAATTGTTTTAAAACAATTTTCCTTTTTTTTTAAAAGAAAAGAAATTAATTTTATTCAGCAGGGAAGCATTAAATTGATAAAAAGTGACAATGAAGACTTTTATAATGTAACAAAATATTTTTTAACAAAAGATAAATGCTGTTCTTTTGAACATTCTATTCAAGAATTCAAAAAAAAAAAAAAAAAATTATCACAGTTTCCAAAAAGTATTAAGCAGCACAACTGTTTTAAACATTGATAATAATAAGAAGAAATGTTTCTTGAGCAGCAAATCAGCATTAGAATTATTTCTGAAGGATTATTGATACTGAAGACTGGAGTAATGATGCTGAAAATTCACATCACAGGAATCAATTACATTTTAAAATATAAAAGATATTAAAATATAAAGTTATTGTAAATTGTAATAATATTTCACAATTTTACTGTTTTATGTTTGATCAAATAAATGCAGCCTTGGTGAGAATAAGACACTTCTTTCAAAAACATTTTTAAAAAATCTTACTGACCTCAAACTTTTGAATGGTAGTGTAAACCTGACCACATATTTAATATGCCTGATGCATTCAGAAGTTCAAAGACATGAATGATCAATAGCACTTACTATCTTGCTGGAAAAGGAAGCCCTTTAGCCACACCGCACCGAGCGTGGACAGCAAAGTGGCCGCAATGATCTGCCATGGCTCCAGACCAGCACATTGAGAATTCACAAAGCGCCGAGCCTCCTCTATGTACAGCAGCACCATCTCCTTATACACCTCCAAGGCACTCTGCATGAGGAAAGGAGACAAGTTATTGTCAATCAAGGCAACTTGACCAGAAAAAAAACCCAATCCGATTTCAATAAACAGCTGGAAAACTACAAAGCTCAAGCAGATCAAGACAGACTCAACACATAGACCAATAATTGGCTACTTACCAGCCTCAGCCACATTAATCAATCAATAAACATTGATAGAAGAGTCAATAAACCTAGTGAAATTCTTCAGGGTTAAAAACTACTATAAAATTCTGGCTATGTCAGTTCCCAGATTAGCAAATTAAAATCTCAATAAAAAACATTCAAAATTATACTTAAATACTTACTGTAGAGAACTGACTCATACTTAATTGTCTCAAGAGCTTGGCTTCACTAATCACACTTAAGACAACTGTGGCAGGAGAATGTCTAACTTCAGCCACAAGAATCAGAGAGAGCTTAGTAGATAACTACTTTCACAGATATTGTTCCTACTGACCACACCTTATTCATTATGAGAAACTGGCCGCACAAAACCCAAAGCAAAGACTTAAAATAGGCCTTTATATGGGTGAAATAAAACAAAAATCCCCTAAAAAAATACTAGTTCAAGTCTATTATACTGAAAAGTACATATTTATAAATGGCTAGATTATCTCATTTAAACGAGCGGGGAAAAAAGCATATCTGGTGGACGCATTTCACAATCACTATTTTTTACAGCACAATGTGGTCTTGCTTGATAACAGCGCAGATTGTGTCCCATAACAGCATGCAGGAAACCTGGAGGTCAACAGAACAAAGTCTTAGCCAACCATATTCATGATGTCACCTCCTAGTAATCTGCAATGCATGAGCATCTCATTTCTTCTTCAAAAGCCAGACTAAAAGCTATAATTTGCATTCTGAGTATGTAAAGAGCACTAAGCACATATCATCTTGAATGTAGCACAATAAATGACACATAATTAGACATATTAAAACAAAATTAAAAGGTATTAATTTTGTCAAGGAGATAATGAATAAATCAGACAGGAGCTAAACAACTCCCCCTGAATGGAGTTCTAAGTCCGTGACAAGCTCTCCAACAGGTTTAGCAGGGTTTGCGAAGTACAGCGAATGTAGAGGAGCAAAACAGGTCATGTTAGTGAACAACTGAAACTTTGACCAGGACTGAGGTGCATCATACGTTCAGGATCCAAATATAACAAAAGCATGAAATGTGGAACCTCAACTGCACTGAAACTAAATGTTTAAAGCCAGCATCCCATCAGTCAGTGAACGTGATTTCTCCAAGTACAACATCTTTGCTGATCCTGGAACAACATTTCAATCAACCAATCAGATTTGAGAGACAAGATTACACTTTATGTCAAGTTTAGACTTACAACCCGAGTGCTTCTACATCAGTGTTATTTACCTATCATTTTCCTCTGATTTTAGGGAGAAGTTATGGGTAGGGTTAGGTTTAGGGGTAGTGAGACGGGTTAGGACTAATTGTTGTTCCAGGATCAACGGAATATGTTGATACAGGAACATGTCTTACTTGGCAAAACCACGGTGACCGTCAGTCTTATGTAACAAGCCCTACACACAGCTTCTCAGTGCATAACGTGCCATAAAATGCTGAGATTATGTTATCTTGTAAAAGGGGCAAAAGGCAAAGACAGCAGAAACACATTGCAAAAGAGATGTACACGTCTGCTATGTTATACAACAAGTCTTCTGAACATGACAGATAACACAATTGTGATAAAAGAACATGTATGAAGCACTTGGATGGGTTTAGTTTGAATCAATACGTTTATAAATAAATATGCTGTGGCCCCTAAACGGTTGCTTTCAGGTCCTAGTGTACTACAGACAATCACACCCTCTCTACTCAAGCTTCGATTATTTGTCCGTTGTTGAGTCAAAGAGCTCATGATTCCAACATCTTAAAGAGGATCAGACAGAAAGTGCTATGTGGCAGCTTTCAGACAATATGTCTATGTTTATCTATGATAAAGTGTATATAGTAAATAAAAGTTGGAAGTCTACATGAAAAAAAAAAGGTTTAATTCAAATAGCTAAAAGTATATACACAATTGCTTTTATATGCAATCACCCATATACACTGACTATACCATTCAAAAGTCTGGGGTCAGGACGAATTTTTTACATAGAAATTAAGACAATTATTCAGCAATGATGCTTTACATTGATAAGAAGTGACAATACAGACATTTATAAGGGCACAAAAGATGTATATTCAAATAAATGCTATTCTTTGGAACTTTGTATTTATCAAGGAATACTGGGGGGGGGGGGGGGGGAAGTATCACAATTTCCACAAAAAATATCAAGCAGAACAACTGTTTAACATTGATAATCATACGTTTATGTTCATATGTTATGTTCAAATCATATGTTTCTTGAGCAGCAAATCAACATATTAGAACGATTTCTGAAGGATTATGAAAACTGGAGTAATGATGCTGAAAATTCATCACAGGAAAGAATTATATTATATAAAATATATTACCAGAGAAGCCAGATATTTTAAATGTTTAATAATATTTCACAATGCTACTGTTTTACTGTATTTTTGATCAAATAAATGCAGACTTGGTGAGCATAAGATACTTCTTTCAAAAACATTTAAAAAATATTACTGACCCCAAGCATTTGAACGGAAGAGTAACCTACATTAAAGCATTAGGAAAAAAATAAACAAACTCATATAAACACACATATACATTATATATATGGATGAGTGAGGCTGTGATTCTTCATAGTATCTTATTTTGTGTTCCACATAAGAAATGACATACGGGTGAGGTGACTATATATGATGACAGACTTTTATTTTTGGGGTGAAAAATCCCTTTCATAGAGCCCTGAAGTTAATTCACACACATTAAATCACTAGCATTCCCACAGCGTCAGACGAGCCAAAAACAGTCTCAACAGATGCTGCTAAACCGTATTCAAAACAGATCTTGCCCCCATTGTACACCCTTGTTAAGAATAGCACTTCCTCTGGGTTTGAGCCTGTCACAGGAAGGTTTCTGAAGAACACATACACAATGAAACATAAAATTTCCCTCTCTGCACCTGGTTGTTCCACAAAGACAAGTGATTATTACAGAGAGTTGTGTAAAGGAGAAACGGTTTTATAATAGCTCTCCTCTCACCTATATCAAACTGTGCATGATGTGACTCCTTTACACAGCAGCACAGAAGACATAGGCTACACAAAACTTGATATAGAACACGATAATAAACATGAACGGTATGACATTTGGGCCCAGACTCTCGCTCTCTAAAAAACAACAACACTTCAAATGGATAATAATCTTTCTACATGATAAGATCACCTGAATTCCCCAGTGAACGTGAAAAAATGTTATATCAGATGAAAGTGTCACCTATAGATCTGATACACTGACACTGAACCATCATTCCAGCTCTTCAGAGTAAATTAAGTATGTCGACTAACAAAACAAAGTAACATAATACGATTTACCAAAACATGCTTATTTTCTATAGTCGAAGCTTTCGTTGTGACATAACCATGGCTTGTTTGGATAGCTGGAACAGACTATTTTTAACAGCTGATTTCTAATTGCCATCATACCCACTCACCCTGTAGTCCATTTTGTTTGCCAAGGTTACAACCCGTCTGGGAAAAAGTCGCTTCTTCAACTACTCCGTGAGAAATGGGGAAGACAGCCTGAAAGATCTTTGTTTGGCTTGTTTTGAGAGCGGATGCCCCGTTGCATGACACAATCAGAGGAGCAAGCTTATATCAGGAAGTGCCGTATGAGAAAAAGAGGACGCGATTTGCTTTCAGGGGAGACTCCGCATTCGCTGATCTTCATATGCTGCAAGTGTCCTTCATCACAGTGATTAGTCCAGCACACATATGTTAGAATCTGTGAGAGTCACTACCTCCTGCTGCCGATTCGCAGATTCGACACGGGTTACATGGTATTTTCCAGGGAGGTCCATGTGTAGAGTATCTTATTATTAGTCTGCGAAATGATCTTTTAATGTAGCCTACTGTATTTTTATTTTTATATATTGTATGTATGTATTTATTATTATTGTTGTTGGTTCATATTTAATCATTTTATGTCATGTTTTATTTTTTAAATTATTAATTAAGTTTTAAGCACCACATTAACGTGTTTTTTGTTTTGTTTTGTTTTTTGACAAAGGAAGGGACAGCCTAGAAAACTTGATTAATATTCATTGCATGAATAATTTCATCATACAATAATGATCTACTGATTTGGGCTGCATTGATATTTTCTAGGATAACTCAAGTCAAGTCACCTTTATGTATAGCCTATAACGCCTTTTAAATACAGATTGTTTCAAAGCACCTTTACAGTGATGACAGGAAAATAATGCAACAAAATTGGTTTCGGCTGTACAGCAGATCTAGAGAAAATTGCGTTATAGTCCAATTAAGTTCAGTGATGGTTCATTTTTGTTGTAAGTTATTAATTTCGTTCATTTCGTTCACCGCTCTGGAGAAAACAGGGATGTCATCGTCCAGCTCAGTTCTCATAATGGTGTCAAATTCAATGCAGGCAGATCAGTAATATTGTTGAATATTAAGTGCCCCAAACTAAGCAAGCCAAAAGACAAAGGCGACAGTGGCAAACTTATGTGTTGTTTTTATATGGTTTCATGCACATGCAGTGCTTTGAATGGTCACTTGATGGCGCTATTGGTGTTTTTAAAGGACAGACTGGGTATTTTGGTAAAATGTTTCTAACCTGGATTGTTTAACCTTTTATTTAAAAAAAAAACCTCAGTTAATAGGTCGTTCATATAGTAAATGGTCATTTACATTTATTACAGTTCGTCAGTAGGCTACACGTAAGAAAGTGACGGATTAAAGGCACTTTTTATAGTAGCCTAACGATTTTTTTATGCAAATGCCTATTTGTGTGTCTGTGTGATTAAATGTTTGTTTACCTATTTAAAGAAAGGTAGCCTACATTTACATGTATTCGTGTATTTAGCAGACGCTTTTATCCAACAAGACTTACAGGAGAGGAACAAAGCAATTATCAAGAAGCCAACACTGTAAAAAATGATATGATCAATAAGTTATGGCAACATAATGTTCACATCGTTTTAACTCGTCAAAATAAGTTAAGCAATTTTCAAATATTTAAGTTAGCCTATAGATTCAACAATTTTTTTCAAGTCAGTTTTCTGTAGGCCTAATTTAAGTTAAAATGACTTAAACATCCAAGTTGATTGTAGGCTACTTAAACATTTCAGACAGCAACTTTTTCTTTTTTACAGTGCAGGTTTATTAGACAACTAGATTAGAAAGCAAACGGATGAATTAAGTTTTTTGTTGCATTGGTTTAAGGGTGTGGGGTGGTTAAGTTTTTTGTGGAAAGTAAAAATATACGACCAAATAATACTTCAGCAATATCACATTTTTCTTCATTATAGCAGATTTCTTTTTTCTTTTCTGTTCTTTTCTTTTATTCAAAGAATAGACAAAAACTTAAATTACTTGGTAAAGATGGAATAAATTAAATTTATTCTGTGGGGCTTAAAAATATTGGTAACCAAGCATGTAGGCCTATACGCTAAATGATGAATAAAACTATAGGGAAAGATTGTAAGTCTGGGTATGAGATGAGGAAAACACAACAAAAATATAGGCCTATTAAATTAAATTCATTTGAAAAGTCGAAATGATGAAAGCAAGGTAAACGTTTCTAAGACAGCTTTACAACAAAGTTGAAATTCTGCTAACCCATGTGACATAAAAGTATATACTGGACTAACCCATACACCTACACATGTAATAATACAATACAGGTAAAAAAAAATAATAATAAAAAAATTGGAAATTGTTGAACAGTGAAGTTCATAGATAGTTTTTCAAAATTATTTGCAACTCTTAATATGTATTTATTTACTTTTTTTTTTAAATATATAATTTTAGTCTATTTTCATCATGCCAATGGAAAATGTATTTCCCCCCAAAACTTGGCAAGTTACAGCAATAGTAAGATAAATTCGATTCAAGTCTGTGCTGAATGTGGGTACAATTTGGAGAAAAGCTGCAGTTGAACCCACGCATTCACAGCAGCACCAAAGCTTAATTATTGAGGGTGACCCCCGATTGCTCAAACCAAATAGAGTTTTAGCAAGAAGCTCTTGCCTATTCAATTATAATTGGTGTATTCGGTCATAACAAGCATATGCGTTTTAGCACAATGGGTAGACTCTAAAAGAAAGCTCAAAAGCACATTAAAACTGCATTACTTCTTCCAAGAAGTGTACTCAAGATCTTTCTGGTCTCGATGCGCACACCGTTCCAAAAGCGCACACGTCTCCAAAGGTGCACGTTTTACCACACAAAAGAGTTGACATTGTTTGAGTTTTAACAAGAGGTGTACATATGGCATCCGGGTTGTAATTAAATGTTTTTAAGTTGTTGTTTTTGTCTTCTCAGTGAAGTTTCCTTTTCTTCTTTATGTGCAGCCTTTTCCGCGTCTGAACAAGAGAGAAGAATTAAATAGCTTTTCTGCCAGTTTGGGACAAATGGATGGCAAAAAGCTGGTCAGCGAGTTTTGGTCCTTGATTGCCTTCTTCAGATGCCCTTCAAACAAAGGCTGGGGAGGAAAATAAAGCCCCACCTGGTACTTCTGTTTGTTAAAATAATAAGAAATAGATTTCGTTTCATAAATAACTACAACAGATTGTAAAGTGCAGCAGTTGAAGAAGTAGCCTATCAATCAAGAGAGCGAGGCCAGGTATCACCTGCTCTTCAGTATAGGGCGCATTTATTGTTAAATCATGTTCTTTGCGATATCTATGATTTCCACAGCAACAGGTCGCCTATGTTTGCCCATACTTTGCATAACAAGCAAGATATTACTCTGCACTGATAAAAATCGGATGACAAATCGGACAGTCCCAAAACCACACCTGTCCCGCGATATCCCAATATGGGTCTGGCATCAAAAGTTATTTGTAAAGCGGTAATATTTGGTTTACTTTGGATTATTTCGAGGACTTTATAACAGCACGACAACATTCCCTATCTCCTTGCTTTATTTGTCCATTTTATTGAAAGCATATGGTTATCAGATGTCTTCCAAAATACATATTTAGTTAGACTGGCGATGAGTGCCTTTGTGGACACTTGGGAACCACGGTAAATATTTTGCGCCCATAACAGGGCTCTTGGTCACTCCAATAAATTAAGATTTATCAAGACTTGGGGCCAAGTGTAAACTCGTGCTATCCAACCATGTTAAAAGTCTTGTTTGCAACTGTGACTATATTTACAACGCGCACTTATGTACCTAATAACGGACTCCATTTGGAGACATCAGTGCGCACGCATTCTATTTTCTTTGCAAATTTTGTTGTGCATCATTTTCTGTGTTTTCATTGCACAAAGGAACTGCTCCTGCACATAGACACACGTTGTTCCACATTTTCTTCGCTTAAATATACATTTCCCAGGGTTTTGCGCACTACAACACAATTTACGCACAGGAATATCACAAGAAGGCGCACAACTGCAATGACACTAAAATATATTGTTTATCAGTAAATATTTTCAGCTCTGGTTATTGGAAATTACTTGTTAAAAAGTATATATAAGTGCCACTAAAAAGTCCCCGAAGCACGTATGTTCATAATACCTACATGGTTTTTAACGCAGTGACAAGGTTACCAAGTCACCTGCTGCGTCTATTCCTGCTCCAGATCCATTAACTTTTTATACCACCCATTCCAGACGCTGTGTTTGAGAAAACTTAATGCGTATTCAGTGCCATTATTAACTCAATCGTGATGATATAGCATTCATTGTGGGGAAAAAAGGCTTACATGCCACTATATATTTGCAGTAGGCTGTTTCGCGTGGTGAAATTATGACTCTTAATATAAACGAGAAAAAAATGTCTAAGATAGAAAATGACAGACAACTATACTTCACATTAAATTTTCTATCCTGTCTTAGTTTATTTCTGAAACTATGAATGTATTTTTTTGGAAAGGACCGTCTCAGTTCTGATTGGCCACTTGACTCCATTTGTTTGTCCAAGAGCGCAGACAGGATAAAGGGACATAAATGACGAATGGGCGCATCACCCTCTATTGTCCTCTTGATTTATATATTAAGGGGATGAATAAAGAGACTGCATGTTGCTCACTGATAGACTCCTAGTGCTCTAGACCAACACCCTCACGGAACTTAGCCTCACCGAGCCAGTCTGCAAGAGGTAAGCATCTAAAGTATGATAGGTTTCTTATAGATTGTTATTCGAGACCTTGGACTAAGGATGTCCAGTTGTGTTTTGTTTACAGAATGACTCCAAGATCCACGTGCGCTTCGGGAGGAAGGAATGGGACCTTTAAATCTAACTGGAGTTCGGCATTAGATCTCAAGTCTGGATCCACAGACATTACCAAAGGTCAACTAATTAAATACAACAGAGAATATGAGCTTGGCAACACAGACTCAGCGACTAAAGAATCCTCATCTACCTTCAGCGAAGATAATGCAAGAAATAAAAGAATGAAGAAAAAGATGCCAGTTAAATCAGCAAGCAGACAACGTGGGAATCGCAGAGGGAAGGCAAACGATAGAGAAAGGCACCGCATGCATAAGCTGAACTCCGCTCTGGATACTCTGAGAAGCGTGCTTCCAACTTTTCCAGATGACGCGAAACTGACTAAAATTGAGACGTTGAGATTCGCGCACAATTACATTTGGGCATTGTCAGAAACACTGAGAATTGCAGACCACGTTCGACAAATTTCAAATCACGTTCGGGATCAGGGGAACCTCACGGTGCCAAGCGCTTGCTTGGAAGCGCGTTACAGCGCATCAAGCACATGCGCGTCCAAGTGGCACTCCACAAACTCAACATCAAATTGGCAAGAAACCCAAGGCTACTACACTGATTTGTTGCTAGAGGAATTTAACTGCAATTTTCAGGACAATCTGACATTTTGATTTGCTGAGGAAAGTCTAATCTGCGAGTAGCAAAACAAATCTGGCAAAAGTTAACTATTGCTATTAGGACCACGAGTAGCCTAGGCCATGACACGTTTCAGGGCAGCTCATGTGTATTAATTTTACTTTTCGTTAATGCCTGAAAAACAACGACATAATGATTTGATCATTTTAATTATTCAAACGGTTTATTGCATGCTTCCATTTATATGTATATGACGATGACAGACAAATCAATGTTGTAGCCTAAATATTGTTTCTGATATTTCCTTCTTCCTTTTTTAATTCAAGCAAATAAACAAAAAGGTATTTTATTCATTCGAGTGCTTTTGTAGAATATAAATTGTACAATCAAGTATAATACGTTCATATAAAAATGCTTTAGTGTTTCGTGAAGCAAGCTTGCATGTTGTAATTTTACTGACAGGGTTCTGCGCATGCGCTGTACTCCAGCTGAGCTTTCCAGAGCAACAGGTGCTCACACTCGGGGAGACCGTGGCGTGCAATATCTCTAGTGGAAAAAAAAAAACATAAAAAATGACACCTTAATTTCTTAAGTTAAAACAAAATCCATCCAGACACATTGAATGTCTCTAAATATTTAATTTCGTAAACAAGCCTTTTGATCATTATGCTTGGTGTGTGTAGGCCTATGTTTTTCCCTATGCATATGCTGTGTCAAATAACCGTGTTTCAATTAGTATTTTCTTGCAAGAACTGAGTCATTTTGATTAGGTTCACTTTTGAGATTTCTTACAGCTGCAGAAACAAAAACTATTGCACTCTGACTGAAGTATGAGTGTGTTTGTGCTTTCAATGCAACATTCAAATATTCAGTCATTTATTCTACTATAATTATGCTTCTGCACCAATCTGCAGAAAGGCTTTTATTGAAAGGCCAGCGCGATTCAAATGAATACACATTCCTAATCAAAAAAGCATGTAAAAAGTCAATATTTTAATAAATAAACAAACCATAAAGAAATTTCACAATGGATATGCAACATTTTATTTTTCTAGCATGGCTGAACAAGTTATTTCATAAAAAAATATGGAGAATCCAAAAGACAATATACATACAGGGAATAGATTTTACATACCAATGTGTGTGAGAAATATGACCATGATAACAGAATACATTTCAATGATCAACTTTTTATGAAAAACTGCTAATGCAGTAAGTGGTCTTAAGATACCCTAGCACCAATAATATGAGCCTTTTATACAAAGAGATACATGTATGGAATGACTAAGACATTGGAATGTATGATAACAATAGCACTTTATCTGGATAGACCCTATATACACATTTAGGTGATGTCGAATCACATTTCCTGATTATTGTTGCCAAAGTCCATTTAAATCTATGCACTTCTGTCTGAGCATGTAAGAGTTGTTTCAAACATTCATGCTGCCAACAAAGCAGCCTCATTGAAAGACTATCCAAATAAAGTGGTACAGATTTCTGAAGGAATACCCCACATAAGGGAATGTGCAGTTTTAAAGTAGAATGTTGGTAAGATTCTACTTTGGAAAAACCGTGACAACGTCATAACCCTCTGGAGGAGTGACGCGTTCGCGTGCGTGTTTCTCGCAGTAAATCTTGTCCTCAACAAAAAAGTGTCCTTTCTGCTTAAGATTGATCCCGCAGTCTGTGCAAACGTAGCACTCTGGGTGGCGAAACTTATCTCGAACTTTGACAATCATTCCTCTTTAAAACCAAAACAAAAAGAGAGAGATCAAAGTTAGTCACAGTATAGGAAAACATGTTTGGGAAAAATTCCTATTATTATGAGAGGCTGCTCACTGCAGAACCAATGGGTGGAGCTTGACATCTAGGTCCCCTTCTTTGGATGCAATGGGTGGAGCGTGAAGGTCTAGACACACCTTAGCCCGACCCAATCCATAAACACAATTAGGTTAAGCCCCACACATTAGATCAACAGAGGTGGAGCCGGACAAGATCAAGCTCCACCCATTATGTCCAAAGTGGGGGAGCCGGACAAATACCCACTTGCGGTGGTGCACGTGCTCGCGACAGGAAGTAAGTGCGCAAGACTGTCCCATGTTTTGAAAATGCCAAAGTGCAGTGCCCTTAATGTACACTAAACCCACACTATCTCAAATACCGCTTCGGAGCGGTATTCGAAGCTAAGCGTATCCCATCATGCATTATGTTCGGGAACTCATGTGCCCCGAAATCTCGAGGAAAATATTCCACTGTAATTTAAATTAATTCGATTCATATAATTTGGTAGTAAAACATTTTAACGGTGCAAAGATGAGTGTGGTATGTGTAGGCCTTTTGCACCTGTTTTTATCACTTAGAACCACAATTTTAAATTTGTGTCTTCTGATAGTTACATAGCGACTACTGAACAGACATGCAGAAGTTTATTTTAAAATGCAAAGTGTTGGAAATATAATAAATAAAAGCTCTGTAAACACTTGCATTTTTTTGCAACACTATAAGTGGTACTGTGTCCCATCAAGTAATCAAAAGTTCTACACACACTTGCAGTCTTTACGCCATTTGAACACTTGGGCCAAATAGAGGAAATACGTCAAGCAAGTACACAAGTGGTCAAGTGCAAAGATTGCAAGTGTGTGTATTTGGACAAGGCAATCATTTGGCTCTGCAGTAAACACCACTTGATTATTAAAGCTGCAGTCCGGCGTTTTTCCTCTTTGTCGCCATCTCTGTTCGAAATCTGCAATTGCAGTCATTCGCGGAATTATCAACTTTACGTGAATTGTACTTCAACACCCTCGACACGGCACAGTGCGGATGAACCAGTGTTGTAGTAGAGTCACCAACTGTCGAGTCCGAGTCGAGTCTCGATTCCCAGTGTTCGAGTCCGAGTCCAAGTCCGAGTCACCAAAGAAGAGTCCGAGTCGAGTCACCATTACCTGAGTTCAAGTCCGAGTCAGTCTCGAGTCCCGTGTTCGAGTCCGAGTCGAAATTATATACACTTAAGCCAAATCAAGCAACATTTTTCAGGCACTCTTTCTTGCAGCTAGAAATGTGTATGATAGCCTATCACTAGAATTGCCTTTGACCTTATCATATCATTGTCAACTACCTGTGGCACGATTATATTTATTTAATTGTTTAAATACATTTTTGGATGATCAGTCAACTGGAATGGATAAAGAAAACAAAAAAGAAAGCCTAATTGGACAGAGGAGAAGAAATGCATTCTTCTTGACGAATATGGTAAAAGAAAAACAATTTTGAAATTTTGAAAAGCAAACTAAATCCCAATGTAACTGCGGCAAAAAAAACCCCCAGAAAATGCAGTGCTATAAGCAGTTGTAACTCCGCAGGAAAAGAGTGGTTGCGATGTGTGGCATAGTCAAGGTCGCCGTCTAGTTTGTTAGCTAAAATAATCATAATTGTGTTATTGTATGATAAGCGGGATTAAGCGCTGAGCGCGTCCGACTTTGGCTCAGCGCCAGCCATAGCACGAAAGCATAGTTTAAATCTGGCAGTTATGTCACGTCACTGTACGTTCGCTCCTTACGTGGTCAGCCCAGCTGCTGCAAAGTGTGCCAAAATCGAAATTGCTGATTAGATGTAGAGGAAGTTATCTAGTGTTAAATGAGTGTTGCGTTATCTCTCTCACGAGAATGCAGCGTAAAGTGAGTGACGTCAGTGAGTGTGTTGTCAAGCAAGGAGAGCGAGCGGTAGCAGTGTCTGTGAGGGAAAAAATAGATCACGGCCGGTCTTGGACCCCGAAACAGGAAAAGTGTAACATCTTATATCAAATTTTTATAACCTATTTAGTCAGAAACAACGTCATTCATTTGATGAATGCTCAAGTCCGATTTTATATATTCTCGAGTCCGAGTCCAAGTATAGTCATCAGTCCGCGAGTCCAAGTCGAGTCACGAGTCCAGAGCATGGAGTCTCGAGTCGGACTCGAGTCCGAGTCCAGGACTCGAGTATCACTGGGATGAACACAGTGTTTCAGGAGAGTGTGAGGCTGTCAGTCACCGCGCTGGTGTGGATCATAAACTGTGTGGATACTGTCATTCAGAATCATAGATTATTCTTTTTGGAAGTATGACCAACATAAGAATGTTCACCGGAAAATGTCATCTGAACTAGTAAGAAACATCCACTTTTGTTCTGGTTCTGACATTGCAGTAAATTGCGCTGATTAAATCTAACAATCGCTTATAAGTTATCATATCACGCAAAACCGTGCAAATTATTCTTTGTTCTCAAATTGTTAATGTTAACAACGTAAGCAAGCATTGCGTGACTACATGTAATGTCCTTCCGATATTTATCATTGTTTTCGCATGGGTCCGGTTGCAGTCTCTTTTTTCTGTAGCCACTCCGAAGTCCGAACGAAGTCTTTTGCATTTTACAGCGGGTGAATCTGTTGTCACTGGTGATTGTCGTTTGAACCTTTCTGGATCCGCCATCAAATCGATAAGTTTAATCATATCAAGCGCAGTGAGAAAAGGCTATAAATCTCCATCTCCAACATCCTCACACGCAATATAGCCTACTAGCCGAGACATCTTCTTTATGTGTACAGATGTGACGTAATGACGCAAAGACATGCTCGAATCTCACGCGGAAATCCACCAGTACCACTGAAATTAAAAACATTATTACAAGTTTACCGTTTTGAATCGAGCTAAGGCAAGTAGATAGTTTTGAACACTGTTTAACCCAAAAAAAGCTACGGACTGCAGCTTTAAGGAGAAATCCAAATCCAAAGAAGATAATATAATGAGATTCAGTTCCAAAATGTTCCACGAGATGGCGACACTGGACATGAAACTACAAAGTACTTGCAACTGTTCTTGGATGCATGAATTTCCTTAAAACTCCTAAAAAGATATACCAAAACAGAGAAACTTACACAATCCCTGAACCGCATTTGTCACATAGTGAGAGCCTTTCAGGATTCCCAACTGAGGCTCCAATTTTTGGGGTGGGGGCCTTGACACTTCTGAAGCCAGAGGGTTTATCTACATCACCTGACACAAAGAAACAAAGATAGGCTTTTTTAATAGGCCAGATCATCTGATGCCATTTACACAACGTGTTTCACAGCTGAGGCCACAGGCATGGAGTTAGAAACTAATGATTATGAATGACCAGAATTGCAGATACCCATTTTGTCAAGAAGCTAAGGGCTGGTCACCTTCATGTAATTCAGATACAATGTAGTAGGGTATATACAGTGCGTTAGATATAATACCAGTTTCC